GGTAATAATAGTACCAACCTTTACTTAAAGATTTCAAGATCTACATTGTATGTGTAAGCACCTCTGAAAACCATAGATCTTTGACCATGATTTGTGGCTGGCAAAGGCGAACTCTTCCTCCTCCACCTTCCTCTCCTCCTTTTAACACAATAATAAACCGATTGAAGAGATTGCGGAAATTCCGCTTGCCACCTGAAGTGGAGCATTCGCGTCGCCTTCGAGCGGGAAACTCGAGCTGAGCGGAAAGGCGCGCATGCGCTGCTTGCCCTTGCTGCATGCCCCATTCATGGCTGCTCAAGTATTGTGCCCATTATACGGCAGAAGTACCATTGTTCGTCAGCCCCGACATTGTTCCAGACAGCTTGCCGCGAGCCTTTCAGAGCCGAGTTTGTTGTGATTATGAAATGAAAACCCCCCGTTGGGAGCTGGCAAATGAGCTGGCTTTCATTGTCATGAAGATGGAATCCGCTTCTGTGTCTGTGTGTTTGTGTCTGGGCCCAAGCGAAACTACTTAGAATGCATAAATTGGCAAGACAAGCTAATGCGACGGGCTCCTGACGGAAGCCCAGCTATAGGAGATATATCTGTAGACGACTTGCATTCGCCGCTGTTACTTTGACATGCTAAAATTTCTGCACGCTGGCACGTTTCTGGCATTATAAACACATTATGTATTCGCAAAACATTTTCATTTGCCCGATGATTGCGGGAGAGAAGCGCCGAAGTTCAACTCTCCTCTTGGCTGCTTTTCCAGCAGGTTTATTAATTCAATTCGAAATGCATTTTCGCCAAAATTGCTGCCTTTTCCTAGTGCTTCATGAGTGGAGGCCGAAAAATTTGCATAATTGCGTGTTGTCGGAGCGACGAATCGAGGTGATGGTGATGATGATGGAAAATCGACAGGTGAGCCCAGGGAAGATGTAATTGCATACTCTTTGGCAACTTGGCACTGTCGGCAATCAAATTCAATCAATTTAATTAAGCCGAAAAGGGGGCGTGGCGGCGGCGTTGCGAAATAGAAGAGAAGACCCGGCGTATACGCAATATGCTTTATTTTTAACACGTTACGCACGTAGAGAGATGCTAAAAATATAATCGTGTATACATTTGTCTTTATATAGCCGCCATAATATTGAGTAACAAACGTCGCACACACGCACAAGCGTTGGAAAATGCAGGAAAAGCGGGGAAAGCGGGGCAAGGCTGGCCAAAAAGGAAGTGAGTTTCCCTGCCCCCCCGGCTACATAATAAAGCGGCCATAAAGCAGCAGAACGTGCTAACAACACGTACAAATGGGCCAAAAGGGATGTGGCTCCAGCCAGCCCAGTTTTTCTGTTTATGCTGCTGCCGTTTTGCCAAACTATTTCTCGGAAAAGTCATACCAGAAAAATTGGTCTGAATGAAATGGGATAAATGGTTGAAGGTGGGAAGAAGTCAGGTTTCTCGATGTATTATTTATGGTATTTATGGTGCCTTTTCGGTAATTCAAAAAGGTGACCACCTTTAATGTAGTCAAAAAGGTGAGACAACATTTTTAGTTCAAATGTCAATTGCAGCAGGTAATAGTTTTATTTCTAAAAGATACATATATACTTTACAACTTTTTAACAAAAGTATTTACTACCCTTTAAATGTCTTTACTCCCAATTCCTTAGCTATAAACTCCTTTAGTACCAAATAAAATAAAATTTATGGCACTTTTTTTACCCAAGGACCTACTTATTTTTTTTTAAAAGGTATATTCTGCCCTAGCCACCACAAAATATGAAGTGTTCTTGCTCCGCCCATCATATATTCCAAGTTGAAGTTTTTCGGAAGGTCCCCGACAGCGGATGATATTCTGCAGTTGCTGTGAGCCGTGGAAATTTGTAATTCCCAAACGAGGCAGCGGCGCATTCTCATGCTAAACACGAACCGAGAGCGATTTACTGGCACTTTTTCTTTATTTTCCTACTCGACTCCATTTGCCGGAGTATGTGTGTCAAACAGCAGACAACATAAATAACATGGTCCGCACAGAGAAAAAAAGATGCCCAACAAGGGCTAAAACACGTGCAAAAAAACCGGCTTCCTTTGTGTTTCCTTTATTTTTTTAAGGCAGCAGCCGCCTCTTGATAATAAAAATCAAATAAAGCCAAGTCGAAGAAATGACTGAAACCGCAACGCAAAAGAAAGTGAGGCTGTGAAAAGGCAATGGAAAGTAAATTTCACACACGCGCCACTCCAAAGGCAAGAAAAAAAAAGAAAAAGCGGAAAAAACACGTGAATAAATAAGAAGCGTGAACTTGAATTGATTTGCTTAAGAGAGCCCAGGCTCCTCCTTGTTAGGCGTAAAAACATCATAATTATAACGAGGTAGCAATTTGCGTGGCGCGGCTCAGACAACCGGGCGTATGAGCAATATACCCGCAAGGAACATTTTTATGGCACACACGAACATCAAATTTAAAGCGAATGTCAAGAGAAAAAGGTTAAATGCAGCTGTAAAAATTCAACGACAGTGGGTTGTAGCGCTGGGAAAAAGATTTATGAAAAATTGGCTTTTGTTGTTATGGCCGTTATGTCGTTGTTGTTGCTGTAGTAGTTGTTGTTGTTGTAGCGGTTCCTGTGCGTCGAGGGGCTTCGCAAGTAAACAAGATAACATGGCCGAAACACACACACACTTTCACATCCAAGCACACACACTTGTAGCGAAACTTACACACACAAAAGTCCGTGAACGGAAATGAAAATGTGAACTTTATGACAGAACTCACCCTTTTTACCCCCACCCCCTCGTACTACCTTCTCCACCCGCAGTTCGTTAGGATATCCGCTTTTTACCCGGCCGCATTTTTATCAACTAGAATAAATAAATCAGAAACTATATGCCCTGAGGTCAACAAGGTTTATAATCATGCGTGCACGGAACAAAAATCAACCTTATTATGATAATAAACAGAAATATGCAAGTTATGTTCAAAGATTTTAATTTTAAAATTACTATACAATACTTTAACCATTATAACACTTTCAATCAGTGATAACACATTTATTTATCAGTATTTAACATTAATTAAGTATTCTATTAATTGACATTTTATTTAAATTTGCAAATATTTTTTTGTTGTGCTATTAAAAAACTGGGAACAAAAAAGTTGAAAACATAGAACTGCAAAATAATAATCAAAGCAACCATAATTTTCATTCTCGTTTTCATGTCGAATTGAATTTTATCTGTCGACCGCAAAATAAACAAAGATGCCAAAGCAATTTTGTAACCAATGGAAAAAACAACAAACACAACTCACACTGTGTGTTGGGGTTTGTGCATAGATAGTTGCACATAGGCTAACATGGGTTAACTGGGTTAAAATGACAAACGCAATTGGGAACAGCAACAATAAAAACAGCACATTTTTGTTAAACATTGGTTGGCCTTTCTTCGCGTGGCCTGTTTCTCCGTCTCTTTCTCTCTTCGGTCGTGTTTTCCCACATAAATGTAATTTCATTTTTATAGGTCTTTCACAAATTTGTGTACCGTTGTTGTTCATGTTTATGTTTATGTTTATGCATTTTAATGGCACAGTAACAGCGGCATCAGCAGCAGCAGCCAAGAAAAGTCGGGAAATTTGGCAAGTGAAGCGGCCTGCAGGCAGCCGGCGTTTGCCAGCTGTCTGATCTTTGGCCCCTGGCCGCCCGAAAACCTCCTTAATGCCAACCATCTAACCACCCAACCACCCCCGACCATGGCACAATATCAAAGTCAAATTGTGCGTAAAATTCTTACGTTGCCTGCGCCAAATAAAATGTTCATCGTCGGAAAATGTTGAAACCAATTCGTAGCTGATGACTAAATGATGAGCCAACTGATGGGCACAAAAGGGCCAGCATCTCAAAATTGTGGAGCAAATGCGTCATGTTTCCAGGTCATTACACTTGTTTATTGAATCAATTTTGCTAGTCAAATTCAACAGTCAAATTCTTTTGAGATCTGAATTATTTAAGCTTTATATTTGTCAAGAATTGCGCATTCCGGGAAATAACATTTAATTTTTATGAGAAAATAAGAGGCACTCGATTGTTATCAAGCCGTAAACATAAATACCAACTTTTTTTACCGTTGCTAAAATTGATTTAAACAAACTTTAAAGGACACAATTGTTGGCTTTTATTAAAAAGTAAAACATACAAAAAAAGTTGAAGCTTAGTAAATTGTGTGAAAAGTTAGTATGGCAATAAATATTATTTTTTCAAGGACTGTTTATTAATTCAATGATTTATTTACCATTTAAAACATAAAAATAGTGCAATAACTGCGTTTTCAATGCAAAAATAAACACCATTCAATTATGAGTAGCTCTACACATAAAACAAAATACTCAGAAAAGCAGTTAAAATCTATTGAACTTGAGTGTTACAAATTTAAATACAAAATAAAACAGATAAGAGGCAACATTTATTATTACCAAGACTCCCTCTCTTTAATTAGTTTTATAAGTGATTACTCTCGTTTCCCGGGATTATTAGCTTGTCATCCTGTAAGAATCTGCCCCACACCATCGCACCTAATTGCATTCAATATTCCCATCGGAAAAACCCCTTCGTTCGCCAGATAAAATTTCAAATAGCTAGGGATACCCGAGCGGAAGATAAGAGGAGCGGAAAACAGACGCTGCAAATCCCCTGTAATCCGAGCCCCAAGAAGAAGTCGCAGTCGCAATCCTTTGGCTCCGGGAACTTGCCACTCAGGAGTGTCGCCACCGCTCGATGCCGAGAAGTTCGGTTGCGAACTTGTTGAAAAATCGCAAACGTTAATCAAAGTTAAGCGGCGCAGCGCAGACGATGCCGACGTCAAAGTTAATTAAATTACAAAGTTATTTAATACTTTTGGAATCGCAAGCGTTCGGCAAACCAGCAGGAGTCAGTGGAGCATCTGCTCCTGGTCTTTTGCTCCTTCGAACTCTGTGCCCCCCTCGTTACCCCGCTACCTACTTCACCCATTACATCCGAGCAACGTGTGGCAGTCCTTAATGAAATGTAATTGAAATAAATTAATTTTTCTCACACTTTTCACGTGGACCGACCGTCTGTAATGGAAACATTTCGTGTGCTTTTCAGCTTTTCCCGTGCTGCAATTTAATTCGGTTTTTCAGTCTTCAGTTCTCAGTCCGCCTGTGTCCGCCAGTTAATCCTGAACGGAATGGGCTCCCTCCTCGTCGGAGTCCGAGTCCAGTTCCACATCGGCGCGGAGCTCCTGTATTTCCACGTTCTCGCCTCTGTAGTTTCCAGTGGATTGGGGCGAACTATACTTCTTTGGTTCCATCAGAAAGGGGCAGACGAGAGCTGTTGGGGTTAAAGTTGTTATGACGATGGGCAGGTGATGATGGCTGCATAATGAAATAAACTCGGACAGGCAATAACTATCAAAAGCGCTGAAGGATTCGCTTCAGCACTCCTGTGGATTTTTCATTTTCTGGGATTTTTATCAAGTAGTTAACAGATATTTTCGTATGAAATTAAAATAAAATTTAAAAAAGCTGAAAAGAAGCAACCTCGAACGCTTTTACTAACATAACTAGTATTCCATTTAGGAGTTATTTTGTTCTTTGGATCAATCTTAACCATAAACTTACCCCCATGAGTGATCTCCTTCTTGCATTCGTAAATGTCCGTCTCAAAGACTTGACTGCGTGGCATCAGGGCATCCAAGTAGGCCGGTTTCTTGGGAGGAACCACACTTAAAACTCTGCAGCTGTCATCGCCCTGTTGGTTTTCGAATAGCGAAATGCTGGGACTGCAGCCCAAATAGAACCGATTGAGGGCCTTCACGGTACTCAGCTGATTCTCGGCATGGCGAGTCCTGACCGTAACATAGCTCCTGTCCGTAACCTGCTTCATAATCGTGTGCTTGTAGGTGTGCGCCGCGGGATACGGTGGCAAGTAGTCGGGAATGTGCGAGTTGCAGCCCATTTCGCGGGCCTTCGTGGTCATACTGAGCATTGGCTGCGGCCCCCTGTGGAAGTCCTCGTCGCGTGTCTGGGCACCTGGGCACTCGACAATGGCCTCCGATTCCGACTCCTGCTGACCCTGGCAAATGGCCTTGAGGTCGCCCACCTTGATGTTCATCATGGCGAAGGTGCGCTCCAGATCAAAGAAGCTTTGCGAACTGCGAGCGGCGTGATTGGCCCCATTGGTGGTCCGAACGGCAATCTCACGGAATCCTCAAGGGAACCGATGATTAACTTTTGCCTTGCCTGGCCTGCAAATGGGTTTTCGCAGCTACTTACTGTCTTTCAAAAGTTCCACCATCGAGTGACGTAACAGCTCGTCCTGCACCTCGCAATTCTTAGCCGCCAGCAAATTGTCGAGCACTTTGTACAAGGCTTCTTCGTAGGAATTCATTTTGAGGAAAAGCAAGGGAGAAATTACTTTAAGCAACTGTCAAGAAAATTTGCTGAGTAACGCAATTAAAGAGTTGCAAGGGCTTTTAGTTACTATCGATAAGAAATAATTTGAAGTCTAAGTTTAGGATTGCCAACAATGTTTTGAATTGCCTAAAGATAGCTTTTTAATTATTTCTCATAAACTATGCCTTTCAAATACATTTTAGTATTTTTACATTACCATTTTTATTTGTATAAAATTTGCTTACAGTTTCCTACTTCCCATTCAAGTTTGACAAACCGCCTCCGCTCTTAACAAGTTTACACAATCTTTCCGAAACGCTGAACACTAAAGACCAGAAGCTAAACACTCTATTGGGAATCGGAATCTCCACCACTCCCCGAAAACTAATTACAATATTTTCGCCTTTTGCGATCGCGACCAACTGCAAACTGCTTAACATACACTCGTATCTCGAACATCTCTCCTAATGAGTTATGCAAATATTTGCAGGCGAGTGAGTTCCAAGAAAACCAAAGTGGGAGCCATTGTTTGTCCGATGACAAATTCTCCAGACTCCGTCATAGATTAGCCAAAACGTGGGGCATAATCACTCATAAGCCAAACAAACGGCGCGAAAAGAGAATGGAGAACGGAAAGCTCGTCCGATGGAGGGGAAATCTGGGGGGGAAAACGGGAAAAACCCAGGCACGGGGTCACTGTGTCAGAGTGGAAAAAGTACTTTAGATGCAGACAGATTCGCGTTGCGACGCCCAAGAGGCTGCTGCAATTGAACAAATTGCACCCCTTCCCATATCCCCATATTCCCGCCACTCTTTATTTTTTACGATCTCCATCATGATGATGTTAGATGATGTAGATGATGGGGATTATGTTGGCGGTCGTGCATTGTGGGCGTTCCGCGGCTGACATTTGTACAAAGAACTCGCCCGTATCTAAAATCTCATGTTTTTGCCTCTAGGCGCTACCGTTTAAGCCCACAGAGAAAAAACCAGACAAATGAGGAATAAATCAGAAAAAACGTATTTATCTTTTAAGCCGCAAAAAATATTACAGTTTAAATTCAGTTTAATCCATAGCAATAAGTTTGAATTTAGACAAAGAAAATGTTTTGATTATAGGAATTAAGTTGGTAAACCATTAATTTGTTATGTGTTTATAACCCGTTAAAGCGGCTATTATTGTCTTTTAAATACATCAATACACAAAAAACAAGTTTAACTCTTTTTATAGCATTCGGTCTTCACTGATTTGGAACATGAAAATTAACATTTATACCCCCGAAATAAACAAGTTTGAATAAAAACAATAACATTATGTATTTGGGCATGACACGCACGATTAAAATATAAACATTTAAGGCTTGCGAATTGACGTCAAACCTTTACAACGAATGTAAAACAATATTATTCAACTTGATTTTATTTTGACTACATTGGATTTAATTTACAATATTTTTTCGGTATAGTAAGCATTTTTTTAATGTTATCGTGCCTCTAAAACTCAACTGTTTCCAATTGCATACATCCTCTTTTACTCTTTTAATTTATTCCTGACAATGACCTTCTCATTTCCCGCAGTGCATTCAGCGATGAAATGGAATTTGCTTTCTTGACATGCAAATTTATGCACTCGCATTTGCGGTTGCGCCCATTGTCGCATAAATTCATTCATAATTAACAAGATGCGCCGGCGAATGGCGAGCACATCCCGACTATCGTTTCGCAAGTTGTTTGCCCAGACGACAAACAAAATAATTGCTGCAATTTGGCCACCAGCAAACAGCAAATAGCTGGACATACGAACATATATGGGAAGTGCAGTCGGCGCAAATTGAGCTGTCTTGAGCTAATTCGAACGATTAATTCGATAAGCTTGCAGCTGAAATCGGCAAACAGAAAGACGGGGACGACAGTTGGACAAACTGGCAGCCAATTGATTGAGCCGCCGATTACTGGGGAAGTCTTGGCCGAAGGCCCGGTGCAAATTGCCCCGTCGGCTGGTCGGAGCACAAAGCACCACAAATTGTTCCAGTTTCCGAGGCGCAGATAAATCTATTGAGATATCGAGCCCGGTTCCCGCATTTTCCTCCGCATCGCAGATGTCTTCGTTTATAGACCGTTAAACCCACGCAAAGAAAATGCACTCTGCCGCGAAGCTCTCTGGATTTTTAGAGATTCTGCGGCACGATCTTCGGGACTCTGTTCCCTGGAAGCAATCACTTGACCGAGGGAGCCATAATCTTTATGACAGCCCACTGCCGGAACTTACCGACAGGTTGAGCCACGTTTTCATTGTTGCTGATCGTTTAACGGAGCCAGTTGAACTAGTGACCTTTAGGAAGAAAAAATCATTAAGGTTTCGCTAGTTCCTAAAATTTTATTATAAATGCGGCTTCATTTTATTTTTAATATTTCCTCAAGTATAAATCAATATTTTAAAAGTTTAGTATACAATCAACAAAACCAAATTGAAAGTATGATTTATAACTACTTTGTTATTCAGTACTTAAAGTGGCAAAATAGTTAATGTAGTAAGCAACTTATAAATAAAAAAATGTTTTTTACTTTATTCCCACTTTACATTACAAAGCCTGGACCAAGCAAAATAAAAAATCGCTAATTGGAAATCACTTTAAGATAATGATTACTTAGTTAAGGCCTTATTACAATCTCCTGAAGTCAAGACAATCAAAATCAAGCGATTGCACGACTTTTTGCTGGTTAAACAAATCGCTAATGACACAATCAATGCAAAATTGCGTAATTAAAGCCAGATGGCCAACGGTTTGGGCCTCGTTTGATCAATGGCCAGTCAACCCACGGAAGCCAATTTACCAAAGACACAAAGCGCGTTCGTCAACCCGTCAAATTGTGTTAAATTGTAAATTGACAAGAGCACTAACAATAACAATTATTGTAAGTTATTGTGTGGCGGTGGAAACGAGTTTACTTGACCAGCAGGTGCCACGAAAAAGCCGCATTTCCAATGTTTGTCGTACGAACCGGGAAATCTTTTACCTCCAATCTTTAAGTACCTAAAATCGGGGCATGTGCAAATAGTGACGGAATCGGTGAGCAAATTTTGACGTCCCCTTCGTATCTTATCAGCACAAAAACAGTTGCTTTGGACGCAGTGAAAAATGGGTTAAAATCATATTTATTTAAGCCTCTTACTGATTTTTTTTTCGCTTGTGTAAAAACCATAAAATTTTTTACACTTCGTTGAGTTTCAGGAATTTTTTTAGTGCTGATTGCGAGAAGCAGATATAAGTTTAACGCTCTAATGAATCATCATGCCAAGACAGCTTTAGTTTTTAAGTTTCATTACGAAAAGTTTTGGTTCTAGTATTCAGTAGAATATTAAATAAAATAGCACTTGAACATTAAATTTTGCTGACTAGCTTCGAATGCTAGTTGATATTTTGGATATGTGTACGCAGAGTTAAACTATTTATGTATGTATTTACAAGAAAACTCTTTCCCTCACTGTTTGTTTTTAGGATTTTTATACAGCACTTGCACTCTGAAAGTTCTGCTGTCGACTTCTTTGCACTTCGACATTTGTCTGCTGAAAAACTTTTGCCCATTGGCAGTTGTTTGCATTTTTCGCCCAGCTCTTTGTACTTTGGTTATGCAAATCGAATAAAAAAGATTGAGATAGACAAACAGACAATGTTGCAATTTAGCCTTTTATGAAGTTGACAAAGTAGTTTGGCACCGAAACTCACTTTCTATTTGCACTCGGCTTATTAGATTCAACGGCATGTTTGAATCCGCCTATCTAATCATAGGTCAGGTGACAAAATTTGAAAGGGAAACCGAAGATAGCGATCCAAATGATTTTATTGTTCTCAATTGACACAATTTTGAGATTCCCCCTCTTTTTTGTGGGTTCGGCCAAATTGAAATTTATTGCCGAAAGTAAAGGCGAATTTATCGAACGGAATTTGATAAATTATCAATTCAAGTAAGGCTTCATGTGCGAAATGGGGGAATTAAAAACGTGCAGCAGAGCGCGTGGCACATTTAATAATTCAATTCTCTTCGACAAAACCGAGACAACGAAGTCTGTCCCGATTTCGATTCGATTTAAATTCAAATCAACTTTTCAAAAGCTGGCGGCAAATTTATGCAATATCAGGTTCTCCCCATTCTTTTGTGCTCATCCGCTCCAGAAACACAAAAATGCAAAATTTGTGCTAAAAAACTAGAAACCTTCTAAGCATAATTACGCAGTTCAACGTGCATAAGCAAGAACCACATTAGAGGAGCATCCAGCATCATCAAAATTTTTTGTTAAAACGGAGAAATTCAATGGGGTGTTTGCTGTGGCGAAGTTTCCTTCAACTTTCTGTATCCTATATCGGCAAAATAAACATTTCCAGCTGACAGACGTCGAAGCCAACAAAGATAAACAAACAGAGCAACAGAATGCAGTTGCTTAAATTATGAAAGAAATGCCAGATCAAAGGGATGGGTAAAATGTTGGCGGGGAAATCCTGACATTTTCAAGTGGCTGTGATCCGCCGCAAACTCTGTTGCAATTATTATTGTTCTTGGACCGCATTTCGCTGACGCCGAGTGGATTGTATCGAGAAGATTGCATTTTTATTCACCCCTCAATATGTCAAAAAGCTTTTGCCCCACACTTCAAATGGCTTTCATTTTTCGCTCCGGCTGAGACAATATTTATGGCAACGGAAATTTCTAGAGTGTAATCTGCATATTTTTCTTTGTGCCAAGAGTTTTTATTAACTGTTTTTGTATTTTTTTTTTTTACAGTTTTGCAAATTCTTATTTGAAGGACTCTCAAAGACGTCTATCTAACAGGTAATTATATTGCAAGTAGTTTAAATATTACGAGAAAGAAAGCTAGCTTTAGCGAGCCAAAGCCTATATACTTTTGCAGTCATCAAATATGTCGAACAAAATACATAAAGGCTAAACAACATAGAAGCTACAGCTTTTATACCCTTGCAGATAGTATTATAATTTCAGTTTCGGCCAAAACAAACATTTTTCAATGGTAAATTGTCTGTTGTTTAGCCAAGAAACAACTTACAGCACAACAAAGTATAATTTTAGAAAGCAGAGAAACCCAAAAATCTATTCCATTAAATACAATTAAATTGTAAAAAAAGTAACCTTTGCAAGGGGATAAAAATTAAGTAAAGTCGATGTAGTTATGCATTTTTAAAAGTTTCGTTTATTTAAATATATTCTTGTTTAAATATGTTCAATAAATTTCCAATAACGAAGGGGTAGTAAAGTTCTGCAGTCAAACTGCCAGCACTTAATTCAAATACTTTTTCAATACGGATGCCATTTGTGCAGTTCATTTGGCTAATGCAATTTGAGCCACCGAAAACCGCCCACTCAAATGTGGTTACACCTCTTGCACCGCTCGTCAATATTTACCGCACATTTTGCGCAATTTCAAGCGGCGACTTTGGTTTTCATCTTTTCGATTCGTATACGGTTTTCATTTACACTTATTTATATTTATTTCCTCGCATCGGCTTCGTTTGGCGACCCACTCCACGGCGATTCAGCCGACCATTCGTGCTTTCCCGGTATTTATTTATGCTGATTCCTTTGGGCACTATCGCCATGTGCATTTTTTATGGAAAAAGGGAATTGCAGCGGCATTTACTACAATAAGTTAGCGATAAGGCGTTGGAGTGGCATATAAATTAATAAGAGTACAAACAGTAAAGTTTATGCCGTCGCACGTGGCGCATACGTAATAATTTTCAATGGTATTTCTGTGGCCTTACGGCGACAATTTACTTAATGCTCCCCCGATCAATATTGATACTCGGCCAATATTTGTACAATTTGTTTCAAAGTCACACACATATTTCTGTGGCTTAGTGCTGGAAAGTCTGCGAGTTGGTAGAAAAACCTGAGTGACTCAAATTGCAGATGATTCAGTTTCCCCGGATCGAACACACCTATAGATGCATTTGGCTTAGTCAGCGAAGATTTTAAATCATTCCTTTTTTTATGAGCCGAATCAATTTGCATGCCATTTGCTACGTCAAAGTTTTTCTGTATTTTTTTCCTCTTTTGACCATATACGTTGCGCTGCCTATGAGAACGTAATTTGATTTTTAGATATCGAGTTTGATTTGTGATTTTTGTGGCGATTCTGAATGGCTCGCCTTGACATTTCGTGCTGGAAAATTTAAATATAGATTAAAAAACGCCAAAAGCGGCTAGTCGCCGAGTGTCGAGAGCATCATCTGCCAGGGGCCATTAGTAAAAAAGCTAATGCCACGCCCACTCGCCGCTGCCACTCAATCTATAAATATGCCAGACTTTGCATAGCCGTAAAGTCAACAAAAGGCATCCGCAATTGGGATGGGGGGGCTCGATGATGCAGCAGCTGGCTGGGTTGACAGGACGATGGTTAAATGGCGAGTCCTGTGGGAGGTGGTAGGGCCTGTTATATGAAGAGTTACTGGCGGGAAGTTAAATGGGGAAAAACGAGTGCAGCAGACCGGTTGCCTATAAATTACAGTCAAACGGAAATCATTTTGCATGCATGTCCTGGCGGGCGGAGAAAAAAATAATGTCCTGTTTGTGCCAGCGGAATTTCAACATTTTAGTAAACAGGCGGGAAAATTTCCACTTGGACGACCATTGTCAACACTGCGTATACGTGATGGGGTCAACATTAGCCCGGCCATAAACTAACATTCCGTAATGCGATTAACCCCAGCACACAATGCAAGTCCCGCCCTTCATCTGCAAGAAACCGAGCAATTTCTGCAGCACACGCACAAAAACTGGAAACGAAGCAACAAATTCTGCAGCCTGAAAATGATTTCAAAGCAACTCATGTGTTTCGGGTTTCGGGGTTTTCGGGGTATGTGGTGTGGGGGATCGGCTAACAAACAAGATAAAACTTTTGATTTATCGTTGACACGGACGCCAAGAACAGAAAGAACAAGCAGGACCAGAAACAAAACCAGCAGCAGGACAAAGGTCCTGCTCAATTTTTTGGCCAGTGGAAGGCAGCTGAAAACTAACTTAGACCAAAATTGCGTGCGTCGATAACGAAGGGCAGATTCTGCACAGAAAAAATTAGTAAGCAAGTTAAAAGTAAGGTACTGATTTTAAATAGTTTTCTAAGTAATATCATTTATTAATATTTTTAAAATTAACAAGTTGAATAGAGTAATTCCATTTGTTTGTTAATTTACTTTAGAATTACTCGTTGCCATGCGATTTGTATTATTTTTCTGTTTGTAAAAATATTATTATTGAGTCTAAATTAGGTGGGAGTTTCTCAAGAACAACAAAAATAAATTCCCCAAATAAATTCCTATTAAACAGAGATTAGAAAAGAGATGACTAAGCCCGAAGCTTTTATTTTTTGTAGAAGTGTGCCTGCATTGAAGCCAATTACCAGAAGTGGTGAAGAGGAGCAGGGGGCGGGGCAGTGCGTGGGCGGCAGTGTCCAGTGTCAAGTGTGTGTCACGACACGCGCCGACAAATTTGTGGGCTGCCACCCAAAAAGGCGGCAAACAAGCATAAAGTCTACAGCTTCTGCAACGGCAGACAGGCAAATGAGGTGGTTTTGGGGGGTTGGACGAGGAAACAAGGAGCACAGACAACAATGGGCAGCTGAATGGTCAACTGGCTTGCCGGACTCTCAGATAACATCGCCAAAACAATTTTCCCCAAACCAGACACACAGCTCGGAAAGCAAAGTTCCGCAAAACTTGTTTGCTCTGCCAGCCTTAATTTCCACAAATATTTGCTCGCCCGCATATTTCTGTTTGTTCACTTTGGGTCGACGTGAACTTGAAAAAAATTAATACAAAATATTTGCTCTGGCAGTGCGTAAAAAACCGCAGCAAAAGTACTACATGTGACAGTTTTATGTCAATGAAATAGGCACACACAGCTATAAATGTATCAAGAAAAAAAAATATCTTAAAATCGTAAATCGACTTAGCAGAATTTACATCATCACTTTAAAGAAATCGTCTACATTTTGTAAAAAAAAAACAAGTAAGTTCGGTCTTAAAATTAAAGTAAATACTTTTAAATATTTAAAATATTTTCATCGGAACAAAATGCATATAAATATTTTTAGCTTAATGTTTTTGTTTTGATTTAAGAAAGGTCAATGCAAATACTTTTTTTAGAATTTGAATCATCACTTGGTTAGAAACAATTATTTCATATATTTAATATATTCTTTGAAAAATTGAGATGGATTTAGCACCTTTTGAAAACAAAGGTTATCAGTAAACCATTCATAAAGCTAACAAGTGGTTTTGTATGCCCAAAATAAACCTAATTTTTCAACGTGTGTGAACATATAGTGTCAGATAGGCTGTGACACCCCGCCGTCGACTGGCGAGGAATAAATATTGAGAGGCATGACATCACTTCTGCCGGCTGTCTGGGTTCCAATTGCCGCTCGAGTACGTGTTTTAGACGCTGACGTAGCCGCTGGCGCCTGCGCCCAATGCAAAACTCAAAGTTTATTTCGTCGATGACGTTGTCTTCGAATTCGAAGTGCACATATCTATAGATACCCATTTGAACGCAGAGTGCTCGGAAAATATCGGAATTGCGGGTACGTGCGGCGAGTCAAAGGCGAACTTGGGGCGATATTTATTGAGGGACCCAAGAGCTCTCGACAGAGTTATGTCATGTCTTTTGGGGTAGGACCCAAAGGTGCGCATGCCGAGCAGGTAGAAATGATTGATAGGTGCGTCTGTGGGATTCGAACTGCAGCCGACTTGGATTGTGATGGGTTCTGACGAATTGCCTTGGGCTTTTGCCTGAATCTCCATGTTTCCAACTTTAATTTATTACTGAAAGCAGAGCTGAGTGAAGATTTTTGGGTTTAATTTATAATGCTGCCCCTCCCTACCCACAAACATTTCGCTCCATTGAGTGGCAGAAATCCAACCGGAAGGAATCCATTTAAAATTCATCTAAACTCATTAAAAAAATTTTTTTTCGTTGGCGAAACTGTAAATTAATTTCAACTTGGCCCGGCAGCAGCAGAAAAAGTGTAGACCAAACTTTAAATGCACTCAAATTCAATTGAAAAGTGCAGCCTCATGGTCTGGTACTGCGTATACTTGATATCGCGCATACGCCGCATGGGACCAGTGTTGCTGAGCTGCCCTGCAGTGCCAGCGTCCTGTCAAAGCAGCGAGCACACAACCAGCACAATGACTTGTCAGCAACTAAATGACTTTCACTTTTCCCGTTTGCGAGTGAAGGGTTTAAGAAGGTTACACAGAAAAATTAAAATCGGAAAGGATTTGAAAATGTAAAATCTAAATAGATAATCAAATAGGTTAAATAGAAAATAATAGGATTACAAGATGTGGAATATATTTTTTTTCAGAGTGAATATTTATTTTCTTTATATTTTATACTTTTTTTAAGTTGTCCTATTTCTCTCACTGTTTAAGTTTAAATGTAGCTCAGTGTTGAGATGTGTATCAGTGGACAGCTCGGAAATTCCAAGAGGACAAAGTTGCCAGCTGACGATAGCAAAGGCATTCGGTTAAGGGCAGAATGAAGGAGAAGGAAAGCTTCAGTCAAAAGGCATGACAGATGCCGAGATAGAGGCTCCAGCCACAGTCAGTACGTGTTGGCTCCTCACCGACCGATTCCGCACAGGTGAACCATGAAAATGCTGGCAATTGCACAGGTAAAGGAGAAGTGTGGGGAAAATGGTGGAAATGGCAGCTGTGAAAACGTTTCTCGGCTACTTTTCGCTGCAATCGAGTGAAGCGGAGCAGCCAGTGATTGGATGGAATCTGGCTGAGATGCGTATAAATTATATCGCCCAGTCTGCGATTTTCCCCAGTTTATCCATCCCGCTGCAGTGCAATTTATAGCCCACCATTTACGCCCGGTTTTTACGGAATCCAAACTATTTGGTGTGGCGCGCACGGTGATAGTGATTGCATTTAAATCAATGAAATGCGCATAAATTAATTAAGCCAGAGCGAATCAAACGAAAGGAAAGCCATTTGTTGTGTTTATAAATGTTTAACTTCCTATGGCTACAAATTAACCGCACAAAAACATTTACCTTTAATTAAGCCGCAAACTGGTATTTAGCCAGCAATTTGCGATCGATTTTGAGTGTTTGTTTACTTCGCAGAGCGAATAAAAAACCTATGCAAATTCGTTTGGCAACTTAATTATGCCAAGAACGGGTTGACTCCCGTAATTGATTACGACATCTGCCGGGCCAGGAACTCCCCCAACACAGATATGACATGGCCAAGATTAATGCCACCAATTTGTCCACTTCCCAGCCGCATGCCGATCTCTAAGTTAATCCGCCGTTTGCCGTTTTTAATTTATTTGGCAGCCCCGTTTGCATTGAACCCGAACGTGAAGAGGTTAAGTCCAAAGATGTTTTTGCCATTGGCGGAGCCGTTCAACTTTTGCTTTTAACTCGAATTCGTTGGCCGCTTTGATTGATGGCCTGCTAGTTTGCGAGTGGGTGATGATCTGCTCAAGAGATCTCAATTATTTAAAGTTCCCTCGGTTCGCAGTTCTTAAATTTTCAGCGCTGTTTTTGATGCGATTCTAATTACGACCAAATTACATATCATATATCATTGAATAGGCATAAACACTTCGTGGAAGTCCATAATTTATGCTAATTCCCGCATAGCACCAAAATAGCACCTCATAAATACAAATTTGGCTGCCAAAAAAAAAAGAGGAAACCCCCTTGAATCGCACGCCCCTAACTCATTTATCAGTATCTTGGATGGGGGGCACACGTGTGTTTTAGATACGATTCCCATGCTCATTGCGATTACCTAACGCATTTAAATTTCGAGGCTTAAAACCCAAAGTGCTGATGAGCTTATCTTCAACCTCGGATGCCTGGACAAGGTCACGAAAAAGGGTCGGATTAGTTCTACAGACGGATTCTGCTTTTTAAAATTATACATTTTTCGGGTCTCAGCTGCCGCTTGATTGATTCCCCTGCGCATGTTTTTTTTGTTTTTGTTTATGACTCCGTTTCTCCGGAACTTGTTGATACGATCCAATTAAATTCAAATTTTCAGCTGCGTGGATGAAGTAATGCCTTAATTTATGGCTGTCGCGCCCAAGTTCAAGATCAAGGTCTTACGAATCCCCTTTATTATTTTCCGCGACATTCGAATGTCTAGTCTCCCACAACCAACTGCATCCGAAGTGGGTCATAAATCAGTCAAATTCCACCCACTCGCAGACGGCTTCCCTGCGCCTATTCAGTGTGTGTGTGGGTGACGTCTCTCTTTTTATTAGCCACTTAAACGAATGTCGAGTTGTAATATTGTTGACAACATCGTGAATCGGCGGTGTCTTGAAGGTCTATTTGCCGGGAACTCTAACGTCATCGCGTCAGCGGGTCGGTCGAGTCGGGCAAACAAACCAGAAGGCAAGTAAGCAAACTGCCTGCACAGACAGCAATTACAGCCACTGAATCCAAGCAAGATCGGTGCACTGGAAAAACTAAATCAATTTAAAATAAATTTACAGAAAAGTAAAAACATAACTAATAAAAATATTAATAGAGTTACACTAAATAAAAATTTCTTACTGTTGAAAAACAGTGGATAACACATATACTTTTTATAAAAAAAATAATTAAAATGTGATTAAAATATTGTAGTTATATTTTGATCCCACGTAGAATCTTATGATTATAAAATAAACCGGATTCCCTGCGAATATGTAATGACATTTCATTCAAAGAAATACATGTAACGACTTGTTTTTATGGTAAACATTAAAAATACTTATTATTTTCCATGTAGCGAGCCCATAATGAATGTCAAGTCGTCACCGTTGAGGAATTCGTTGTCGATTGCCGATTGCCGCTTGCCGTTGGCCAAGAAAAGCCGAGAGGCACAAGCCAACAATGGCCCAAAGCCAAAACAAACCAGCAAGCCAGCAGACCAGCAACTCCGGCCTGTCTGGTGAAGCTGTCAATCCAGTTGGGCCGGCATGTGTTTACTTCTTTTAACTCTTTCCTTCCCCCCGTTTAATTTGTTTGCTTTCGTGGGCATGAATTATTTTACAGGAATTATATATGATTAGCCGTGTGCATACGTGTGCGCAGCTCTTTTGGGGGGAAATGAAAGGGGAGGCGACGAATTAGCCGCACGCTTCAATGGCTCAATTAAAATGACACAGTCAAACCCATAATTTCTTCGCAGAGTGCAATTTAAACTGGTTATCGCTAAAAGCTTTAAATGATAGATCATTTAATTAGGTTTAATGGAATGTCAAAGGTGATAGACGTGTTTCGGTCGAATTTACAAAGGCCCAACTTTAAATTAAATTCCCGCTTATCATTAGATCTTCAATGCTTTCACTTTTTTCGTTCGGCGTAATCAGATTTTTTCGTAGAAAGTTGTTATTTTTTAAAAGCCTCTTTTTTAGAACGCGTCGCGTTTTCTGATTCTTTTTTATACCTTTCGCATGTTATGCATAACCCATCGCAATCTAAGGTCGTGGCCCCATTTAATTTCTTGATTGAAGTAGTTTTTTGTGAGAATCAAATTCAATTTTAGGAATTCCTCATCTGATACAAGAGTATACAGTTTGTTTAAGCTCTAAATAAGACTCTTAAGTTGCAGCGGTGCTAAGAATAACCCAGCTTAGACCCTCTAAAACAGTTAGCGGATTAACCCGCGGCACTCGAAGTCATTTATATGGGCAAAGTGGGTCACTGCAACCGGCACACACAGCACACACACTCGCACACACTCGCACACACTCGCACACACTCGCACACACTTGCACACACTCGAAGCACTCGGTGTGTCAACAAATTGAAAATAGAATGCAATAACAAGCCCCAGTGGCAGTGGCAGCTACAGTGACGGCTTTTGACCAGGTTGTCTGCCACTTGACGAGGTGGTTAAAGTTATGAAAGTGCTAATTGAAACGCCACACAATGAGCGGCCAAATGAGCCGAGCCACTCGATGAGTGGCCACTGACTAACCCGCAGATGACCAGTTTCGTGGCCAAAAGCCGCTTATGAATGGGGGCCAATAAATAAAATAAATCTGTTCAAATATGTGAGTGTGTATATTGTATATTCCCGTCGGCTCAATTTGTCTTGGCGTGGAGCGTGGAGGCGTTTGAGTGTCCATCCATCAACGGAAACACTTGTTAGGCGCTTCTTCTCGTCCGGAATATATTTGCATAAAACAAACATTTGCTGAAATAAAATTATGATAAGCAGACGAGTTGAGAGATTACCGAATGCTCATCGTTTGTTTTCGTTTCATTCCCTTTTTTCCCAGCCCGTCATTCGGTTGAGCGATGTAAGAAGTGGCCAGAACGAAACAAAACAGAGCAACCAGAGATTCATCTTAGCCGAGGAAAAACAGGATTAAAGGCCCCGCACCATCCTCGTCATCATCGTTCAGCAAGAAGCAGGCATCGCGATGAGTGGCAGCCATAAAATGCGGTGCTGTCAAGTATTTATCTTAGCTTTATGTGAGTGCTTGCACATGCAGCTTCCCCGAATATTTATTAAACATTTTGTGCTCCCCTTAGTTGTTCACACAATTGCGGCGGAGTTCCATTCTAGCGCATCTCGTGTCGGAGTCAGCTTCGATGGGCTGTCGCCGATCCAAAGTGCGGATGCAGTGTCCTCAACTCCGCGACCAAGGCGTCGCGTATACGCCATGTGTCCGCCGCAATTCCAGCGCGTGGGCACCGATTGCTTCTCCTTGGTGGATCAGCGCAGCAGCTGGCTGGAGGCGCACTTCTTCTGCAAGGACAAGAACGCCAACCTCACGGAACCCGGCAAGCATGCCGATCGCAAGCTGAGGCAGTTCCTCCAGAAACAGGATGCCATTTCAGGTGGTGAGTAAAACAATCATACAAGACTGAATCTTTCAATAGGAAAGAAATTCAGCAACATATAAACCCGCATCTTCTTTCCCCCCAGAAAAAGACCCAATCTGGATGGGAGCCACCTATGACCACCACAACAACCGATGGCAGTGGAGCATGAGCGGCCGCAATCTGTCCAGCGACTCCTTCATCCACTCGGATCCCATGTAAGTAGTCACTTCGATGTTCTTTCCTTTCTGCCTTTATTTCCGTGGATTGATTTAACGCTTAAGCAACAATTCTAGCTATGTGCAACTTATCTCCAACAGCCAACCGCAGGATAGAAACTGTGCCATCTACGATCCGAATCTCAAGTACCGCTGGTCGGCACGTTCCTGCTCGGATAAGTACCGCTTCATCTGCCAGCACAAGATGCCCAAGGTGAGCGGCCCGAATCGCTACAAGATCTACAATCGGTGGAACTCCACCTATCCGAACGAGCAGGCCAACGAGGTGGTCCTGGAAATTCTTGAACCGCGTGAAAACGATCGCAGGTAAATAAAAAATAGCTAAGGGGTAGCATCCCCGGGCAAAAGCTGATTGTCCGGAGAGTTATCTTCTGTCTTCTCCTCCTCCGTTGCTTTCTTATCGGCTTCTTCCTCCGCCAAGAACTCATCCCATTTGGAGAGTCGCTCCTGGGCCTCCACAGCTGATTCATCGATTCTGAAAGAGATAAAAGAATAAGCCTCTGATATAGGATTTATTCGGTTTGAGACTCACTTGTATTTGGTCTTGCCATCCCAGGCTTCAGCACTTAGTTGTCGCTGTCCAAAATAACGTCCCTGCATCATTTGTATGACCACATCGGCTTCCTCCGGCGAGGACATGTTGATTTGGGCAACGCCTTCAGGATGTCTCTAAAATTAGAATGGTTTTAGTTGGTTACGTCTTTAAAACCCTAAAACAACTTACATCATAGATGACCACTTTGCGGACCATCCCGCACTTGCTGCACTCCTCGCGCAGATTGTTTTGGTATTCCAAAATGAGCTCCACCTCCTTTTCAAAGAGTTCTGGAGTGAAGAGGTTCTTGATGATGACTGTTTTTTCATTCTTCGAACGTTCGCCACGCATTTTGTCTGGCCGCCAGTCAAATAACCTAGAAACATAGGCGTTTTAGAACTTTCTTTACATGAAATGTAAATTTTTGGGTACTCACTTTTCCTTCATCTTCTGCAACTTCTCCTTGTCCTTCTTCTTTCGCTTGGGCTTCAGGGCGGGATTGTATTCCCCGCGCATTTGAAACTGGGCTCTCTGCACACGAATCTTGTGGCCACGCAGGACATACTCATCCAGAATTTTAAGCGCCAGATTGACACTCTCCACCTGAAAGAGAAAATAAATAATATAATTAATTTTTTACTCACTTTCAGATACCACCGACGCGTTAAGGCAGAGGGCAGTGATGAGGAGATGATCATCCCCAGCCGTCGCCGCAACAACAATCGCAGGAACAACCAGAGGAGTCGCCCCAACCAGAATCAGCATCCCAACGATGTGAACTACCAACAGCCAAGTCAACAGCGCCAAAGGAACCGCCCTCGCGTGACCACTGTCTCCCCACCTTCAACTGTATCCACCATTCAATCCAATGATGTCCTCTCCCCCTCTCCAAGCCCCCAGCAGATGACCCAGTATGACCGCAAGTTGCAGCGCCAGCGGGAAAGGGAACGTCGCCGCCAACTGCGTCGCCAGGAACGTCAGAAGTTGGCTCGTGAACAGAAGCGCGAGAAGCAACGCCGCCAGAAGGAGGAACGCCAGCGATTGCAGCGGGAGGAGCTGCGCAGGCAGCGTCTGCAGCAGGAGCAGGCCTCCCATGACGAACCCAAGCACCAGGCGCTCGATGAGCTGCGTCAGCGCTCTGCAGAGGAACAGGATAAGAAACTGAAGGAAGAGCAGGAGAGAAAGCTGAGGGAGGAGCAGGAGAGGAAGCTGAGGGAAGAGCAGGAGAGGAAGCTGAGGGAGGAGCAGGAAAAGAAGGAAAAGGAAGAGGAGGAGAGGAAGCAACTGGAGCAGGAGAGGATCCGGCAGGAGGAGAGGGCCCAGCAGGACAGGGAACACCAGCAGCAGCTGAAGCAGAACCAGGATCAGCAGCTCCGCGAACTGAAGGCCAAGCAGCAGCGGGAGCAGCAGGAGCGGGAGTACCTCCAGCAGAAGCGGGAACGCGAACTGGAGCTGCTGAAGCAACGCCAGGAGGAGGCAGCCCGCCAGCGTGCCGCCGACGAGGAGGCGGAGAAACTCCGCCAGGAGCGCATCCAGAAGCAACGCCAGCTGGAGGAGGAGCAGCGACGGGAACGCGAGGGAGCAGCGGCGCAAGGAGCGCGAGGAGCAGGAGAAGCTGGATCGCCTCAACCATGAGAAGCGCATCGCCGAGGAGCAGCGGCTGCGGGAGGAGTACGAGGAGAGCCTGAAGCGGGCCAAGACCGAACGGGAGAAGCAGCTGGCCGAGGCGCACGAGGCCAAGCGACGCGCCGAGCTGGAGCTGCAGGAGCAGCTGAAGAAGCAGGAGGCGGAGCGCCAGGAGCAGATCCGACGCGAGCAGGAGGAGGAGGAGAAGCGGCTGGAGCTGCAGCGACTGGAGGAGACGCGCCGCTTCGAGGAGAAGGAACTGAAGCGCGTGCACGAGGAGGACCTGCGGCTGGAGGAGCAGCGGCGCCAGCGGGAGCGCGAGATAGCGGAGCGCGAGGCCGCCGAGAAGAAGCTGGCCGAGGAGGAGGAACTCCTGCGCAAGCAGGTGCTCGAGGAGGAGCGCGAGCTGAAGCGGCGCCAGGAGGAGGAGATGCGCCAGGCGGAGGAGGCGCGCAAGGCCAAGGAGGCAGAGGAGCGGGCTGCCGAGGAGGCCAAGGAGGCCGAGCAGAGGCGTCGCGTCGAGCTGGCCAAGACACTGGCCGACGAGGAGGTCAAGGCCAAGCTGGAGGAGAAGAAGCGCGAGTACGTCAGCCGAATCTCGGCGCTGAGTCCCGAGGACCAGAAGAAGTTCATCGAGATGCGCAAGCGGCGCAAGCTGCTCAAGGAGAAGAAGGAGCGCGAGCAGAAGGCGAAGGAGCTGAAGAGGATACAGGAGGCCATGCGACTGGACGACAACGAGTAGGCGTCCCCGGGAGTCGAGATTCAGGCAGGATTCACCCCGCAACTAACCAATACTAACCGAGACATATCGATCAAATTGGTTCCACATACGCACCGTTGCCCAGTCGATCCCTTTTCGATGGTTTTCTTTGTGCTTTAATTTAACAAAACAAAACAAAAGAAACATAAACAGAAAAAAAGAGAAAAAACAAACAAGAAAAACTCGCAAAAGTATTATTTACCAGAAAGAAAAATGCGAAAGGAGGAACGAGCATCGCTGCGAAGCACATTTTGTCGGTTGAGGGGAATCAAATTTCAATTGCATTTCGATCGAGCAGGAAAACCAATCTCCTTGCACTTCGCTAGCTCTATTAGTACTGTACAGTAAAGATATACTATATATAGGTCTAGGATATAGACACACCACACACACACACGCGAACACACTGCACCTAAAACACAAACACACACACGGCAACCAGTCACGCATGTTTCCTTAATAACCGAACTAGAAGTTAGCAATCAATTTTAGATGCCAATAAACCCCACACACGCAAATCACGGGAATTTGGAATTTTAAAACTCAAGCACAGAGCCACGGAAATAATTATGGTGAATTAAAAACGTAAGATTGAACGGAGAACTCCTTTGGGTCAGAGCCCCAGTCCAACGCCTCCCCGCACTCGTTTGCCTAAGGTGTCCTCGAATCGAATCGGGCACAGCGAAGCAATAATTTACTAATATAATCTTTTGATAACATCATCGGATGGTCGGATGGTCGACGACCATTTCCTAACTTCTTAGGTTACAAACTATACTTTACAAGGATGTATGTAATTACTAAAGTATGTTTAAATGTAAATTTTTATGTATTTTTTAATACCTCAAATATGCGAAAAGCAAATGGAAAAAAACCCCGAAGGCAACTTTCAGTACGTTTTGTTTCGTTCGAAAAATGGAAATTGAAAGCTGGCAAGGACGGGTATGAAATCGAAAGGAAAAGCAATTTTATAGCCAAGTAATGCATTTTAATAGTAAACTAACCAATTTTAAATATTATTACTCTACACACGGAGAAATGAAAAGCGAATAAAACTAAATAGTCAGCGAAACGTAAGCAAAGAATTCATAAAAGAGAAGCAGGAGAGCAGAACACAAATGAAATACGAAAACATATGATAAAACTACCATATAATATTTATGCAAGATAATTTCTAGTTAAGAAGCCAACAAAGTAAAATAATGAATAAAGTTTGAAAAAACACAAAACAAAAAAGTGCAGTTGGTAGTTAATTTCACCCATTCTTACCTTTATATAATCACAGAGGCCATCGCCCTTGATTTGCCCATCTTTTTCGGCATAAAGTTTCAGCTTGAACTTCTGCGTCTGCGGATCTCTCATGACCATGCCACACTTGCCCATCAGGTCGGCGAACTCATCCATGGTGATGTCCAGTGGCAAATTGGAGACGTACACCTTGGTGTTCTGCGAGGGATCCATTTCGAACCATTCTGCAAGGGAATTGCTCGTAAGTGTGTTGTGAAAGGATGTGAAATTGAGTTGACACTCACTTGGCGGCTCCTGCACCTTTCGCTTTCCGGTTGGAGCTGCCGTGGATGGCGTGTTATCCTTGTTCATGGCTGCCTCCGCCTCAGCCGTCATCCTTTTGAGCTCCTCCTCCTTTCTTTTGGCTTCTGCTGCCTCCTTTTCAGCCTTCTCCTTTTCCCCCGCCGAAGTGTTGTCAATGAACCCGTAGTTCATTTGATAGCGCGCCATGAAGTCATCGTCGATCTTGGGAAACCAGGCGTTCTTGGCAGCATCCCAAAAGAACTCGGCTCCATCCTTGTCCGTGTAGGTGCGTTCGCCCTGCTCGTCCACTCCGTAAACCCCATCCTGCTTGGAGCTCGGCTGCTTGGGTATCCACTTCTTCTGCTCGTCGTCCCACTTGTAGTGCTCCGTTTCGGTTTCCTGTTTCTTTGGCAGCCACTGCTGCGTTTTGGGACACCACTTGTAGTGCTCGTTCTCGTAGAGATCTCCCGCACTGGCCGCTTCGTCGGTGCTCAGGGGTTGCCAGTTGTTCTGGGTGGTGCACCACTTGTACTTCTGCTTGGTGCTGGGATCCGTGTAGATGGCGCCGCCATCCGCTGCGTAGGTCATGTGCTCCTCATAGGCGGCAAAGTCCTGCGAAGGTGCTGCCTTTTCCTTGGCTGCTTCATTATCCGATTGGGTTTCACCCTCTGCAGGCTTTTCATCAACTTCTGACGTCGGAGGTGCTTCCTTCTTTTCCTCCACTTTCTCCGTACTTTCCCCAGCTACTTCCTCCGCTTCAGGTTTCTCCGCCTGCTCCGATTTACTTTCGCCTTCGTCGCTCATTTTTCGGGTTCTGTAATTAAAGCTAGTCGAGAAGTAGACTACATTTAGTTTCTTCCTTTCCTTAACTGCCGCGTGGGCGTGACAGTCGTCTAATTCCCAGCTAATTTCATATTTTTTTCCCAGGACAGCAAATAATGACCACGTGAAACAACAAAACTAAATTGCAGGAACGTGCCCATATCGCTTGACATTGAAGGAGAAGGCGGTGGGTGGGAAAAAAAGCGAGGGTGAGGAATGGGGGAACATTCCGAGAAGCCCCCGGGGAAAATAGCAAGTTTTCCTTTTTGCACCTTTCGCCCGGCGAGGTAAACAATTTACACAATGATTGCCATTTTTCCCCCACACATATACATATGTGTGTGTGTTCGGGTCAAGCTTTGAGGTAGGTAATAAAAAGAAATGAAAAGCGCACGCCACTTTCTGGGCGGTCCAAGAAAAGACCAACACAAATCCCCAAAAACACAAATACAAAATGAAAAGAAAAGAAAAAGGACTTCGCTTACCACGACTCTGAAGGTCAACCAATTTCGTGTTATTTTTGGGACTGGGAACCCCTCATCCTTCCGCCCCGTCGAATCGATTGCTTTGAACTGGCCAACAGCAGGTTCAATCAACCTTTGGCCCGGTAAGTACAAATGCGGAGCCAAATAGATTTGTCAGCCTATTGACACATCGCTTGAGAGTTCCGGCAGCTGACCCGCGGGTATTTGACCGATTCCCTTTACGTCATCCCCGAAACATCTTAACCCAATCGAAGAGGGTTCAATGGACTTGCGGCTAATTGTCACAACCTACTATAAGCCCACTAAAAATAGGCGCAAAAACCGCAGAGGAGCCGAGTTCAACGCTCACCCAAGTGGCCAGCATTTGCATGTACTCGCACAAGATTCACCTTTTGCCAAGTCAGCGGAAGGAGGCGGAACCCTCGGGGGGAATCGGGCGGAGGGGCGGATGGGTGGAATCCCCGGCGAACTGGCACATGCAACAGACCGTGCCCCACTGTCCCCCGGAAAAGCATGGGCAAGTGCAGTTTGCAGGCCAAACAACTTTGTTAGGGGATTCATAAATTACATAGACATTCGAGTATATACTCGAAAGGCTCACGGCTTCCACATGAATAAGGCAAAGTGCAGGCATATAATATGGAAAGTTTAGGCTCTAAACTGGGGCTACACATTGCAATGCAAAATATAATACAGCACCCAATGAAAGAAGCATGGAAATGTAAGCGAACAGGGGAGATTCTTTAGGTCAAACCATTTAAATTTGAATAGGAATTTACGGCAAAGCAGAAAAACTAAATTAAAATGTTGTTTTACCTATTTAAAATCCAGTCTCACTTTTTCTTTGTAAGCTTAGAACACATTGATGGTATTTAAGATAACTACTCTTCAAAAAGGATATTCCATTCTGGACTTAAATGCCAGTCGATTTAATTTCTCTTTCTCTGGACAACTTTAACCTTTACCCTCGACTGGCAACGCACTTTTTGCATAACTAAGTACGGGAATCAAATAAAACCTTATTAAATGCCGACAGAAATCAATTAATTGACGCAAATTGTCTGCGAAAGTCCGCAAATGTGGGACGGACTAAACTACTTGGCCCTGTTTTATGACGGCGCCTTGGAGGTCATAAAATCGTTAGCCAATTTCGGCTTTGCGGGCCAGCTCCCTCCCATAAGTGGCGAAAAACGGACGAAAACGAATTAATTAACTTTTTAGAAATGTCGCGAATTCGCTGGACACTCGTCCTGCCCAAATGTCAACAGGTCAGGGATGAGGGATGATTGACGAAATACGAAATACGAAAACCGGGACGTATGCGCAATGAAAGGGAAAAGCAACGCCCCAGTCACATATACTAGAATAATTATGTTATTTTTAACTTGGCTCGTATTCCGAGAGATTTGCAAACATTACTCACAAATGCCATAAATACCAAGGAGAAAGAGAGCGGGTGGACGGGGGGGTGCACAACTCCAAGACGAAAAAACAGAATTCCCATACTCGCTCTTTTGGCGCACGGAATAACTTAACTCGGAAAACCGGACGGAGTAGGGTGACTCACTCTTCAGTTGGGGAAAACTCACTCACATCCACATTCACATTTCCATAGCACACTTATAAGGGCCAGCTCAAATGGCCCAATATTGATGGCCCCCTTCGGTGGGTGGGTGGTTGTGCGAGTGAGCCGTTGAGCTGGTGAGCTGGTGAACTGGTGAGCTACTGGCTAGTGTGGCTAGCCAGTTAGCCTGCTGGCCTGCTAGAATGCTAGCCCTAGTCCTCGCTGACCAGTACGCGCTGAATCGTCCGACTGACCGCAAGTGCCGGTGCCACAGTGGCCTCCGGAAGTATCCGCCTCGGGAATTGGGAGCACGCAACTCCAAATGGCTTTGTTGTGTATAAATATGTGCGCCTAGGCGAACCACCAATAAACATTTCGAATGCAGCCGGCGAAAAATATGCAAGACTCTCTAATACTAAAATCAATAAACATCTAACAAAACAAAACCATTAAATACCATTAAAAACGGAACAACGATAGCAAATCCAACATGGACATTCCTGCCAGCGGAGCCATTTTCACCCTGGGCAAATCCCATCTGGCGGAAAACACCCAAAGCTACTTCTACATCAAAAACGATCCTGTGAAGCGCCTGATTTCCGGTCCAAACCAGAGTGCTGTCATTTGTGGTAACTACGTGACCCCAAATCCTTCGCTGGTCAATCCGTTTAGCCGCTGGCCAAGTGGTCAAGTCGAATTCGATTGGTGGTCGGTGCGCTGTGCTCGCTGTCTTGCATGTTGAGTGCAATTTTCTTTAAATAATAATAAGCCGAACGCCCCGGGCACTTTTACTTTCTTGTTGGCCCAGTCTTTTGGTCTTTTCCGCCGACCGCGGCCAACTCATCCGTGTGTCTGGCTCGGTCTATTGAATTACTAAATTACAGCCGGCTTCTGCAGCCCGACAAATTTGTAACCAGGATTAGGTGTATTGCTGGGGTGTTCTGAATATTTCATCCGGTCACTCCGCACCGAAATTGAATACAGCTTGTGTTTTCCCTTTAGAGTCGTGCACTTAAAGGAAAATGTACGACTTCGTTGGATAAACAAAATTTAGTGAAATTTATTAACTTAATAACTTAAGAATGAAAGGGTTTTCATTGCTAAAACATCTATGGTGTTTCAGTTCCTATCCCACCAAAAACTATATTGCCAAGTTAATTTTTAATTAAATAAAACGCCCGATAATCATCATCGAGGATATTTTTCCGATGTACTATTTCAGTCCGACATTAAACCCGCATTACATAAGCTTAAAATCCACGATAGACCAAAGAGAGCTGACCAAGCACTTCAAATCACGGCAACTCCGACAACTAATGGGGTCAGACGTGGCGTAAAAATACCTGAAATATGGAGCAAACTCACGAAGTAAACCCCCAAAAAGCGAAACCGAAACTGAAACTAAAACCGAAGCTAACGTAATTGAGGCGTTAACTTCTGCGGGGGAGCAGTTAAACAGTTGAAACATTTGGGGGGGGATTGGGGAATTGAAGGGATTGGCCCACACAAGCGCACACTTTCTCAATCAATAAAAGTCAAGAAAAGGGAACAACCCCGACGCCAAACATAATAAAACAAAACAAAAACAAAAGCCAGCGGCGGCAGGTGAAAGCCAAAGCAAATGTCAAACCGCTCTTATCAATTACAGAATCTGGCCGACTATTTGTTTGGGGCGAGAACCACTACGGCCAGCTCGGCATTGGTGGCCATGGAGGAGCCGGCGGCAAGAAAGCTGCTGGCAGCAACAACAACAACAACAACAACGGGGACATAGTCACCAAGCCCACCTGTGTGAAGGCCTTGAAAACGCTGGGATTAAAGATCTGCGACGCCGCCTTTGGCAATCACTGGGCCGTGATGCTGACACGTGAGTGAATCAACAAATACGCCGGAACTTGCCTAACTTGGGCAATGTGTCACTAAAGAAATTGGCCCAACAAAAAGTTTTAGTTAGGGGAAAAGTTGGTTGAAATAGTAGCAATTTCGTAATTGTTCTGCAGCTCAATTTATTTGGTTTTTCTTGAATTCAGAAGTGAACATTACTTCTAAATATATTTTAGGTAAATCTAATGACACCAATTAGAAGAGCTTTTCGTTAAACAATATTCAAAAAAAATATAGAATATGCAACTATTTAAACCTGCCTTAAATTTGTATCTTTATAACTTCCTAAGTAAGCTTAATTTACATTTAAACACCCATCCTTATTGCATCCAAACTATCCCCACAGATTCCAATGAGATCTTTTTCACGGGTCGCAACATCTTTCCCGAGGACACCCATGTGGCTCAGCACTTTACCACGGCAGAAGTGGATCAGCAGTCTTGTGCCATTATCCGAAAGCCCTTTCGACTGGAGGAATTTGATGATTACTTGTCCAAAAACGAGGAGACGGACAACTTTATGGCAGTCCAAGCGGGCAATGAACATTTCGCCGTGCTAACCAGTAAGTACTCACAAAATATAAATAAGAAATATGTGATTTAAATTTGTTAATCTAACTCAAAAAGGCACTGGTCGCTTGATTGGATGCGGTTCTAATGCCCAAATGCAGCTCGGAGAACTTGAAACGGACTATGATGGTCATCCGGTGGAGATTCGTCTGGATTCACCTGTACAACAGTTTGCCTGCGGACCTGAATCCACGCTTGTTCTGACCGCCAGTGGGAATCTCTTCCTGACCGGCCACCTCAACGAGTTTGTCTTTCCGCGCTTCACCGAGCTGCAGAAGAACCTGCCGCCCACCGAGGCCATTATCTTCATGCACATTTCCAAGACCAGTGAAGTTTATATCGTGACCAATGCGGGCAGCATTTACCGCAGCTTCGAATCGGTGCGAAACAAGAGCCTGGTCTTTCAGCGCTTCTACGATTATGACAGCGAGGAGAATGGTCCCATCTGGAAGCTCTTGAAGGGATTCTCTTTCTATGCGGTTCTTAGCAAGGCCAACAAGTTCTTTACCACGTTCTCGGAGAGCGGTCATCACCTGAAGACATTCCGCGAGATCTCCAAGTTCAAGAACCTCCGCTTGCTGGACATAGCTGTGGGGGATCAGCACGTATTGGTTCAAGGCATTCCGAGATCCTCGATGTCCTCGGCCTCTGTGAGTGGATCAGCTGAACCAAATCGCTACATGAGTCGTAGTTTCGTTCTGCAACCGCCTGATGTAAACGGAAACGGGGAGCAGGGCAGAAACCACAGTGGCAGGAGTCTTACCAAACAAAAAGGAGTTGAGGATGCGGAGGAGCGACCCATAGCGGCTACTGTGGCAGGATTGACAGCTGCAGCTGGAGCTGGAACAGCGGCGGCCATGGAGGCCGTTAAGCATTTAGTCAACGGGGAGAAGCCAGAAGAAAAAGAGGAAACAACTAAAGCCCAGGACATGAATGCAAATATGGAAGTTCAGAAGGCTGTAAGCGAAGGACCCCAGGAAATAAATGATAATAAACAAGAGGATCCAATTTCAAATGAGAATTCAAATCTAATGGAAGGCCAGTCTACCACGCTGTTAAAAAACACGGAAGACACTGAAGCTGCAATAAGTCAAGATCATGATAAAACGGATCAAACAGAAACAATTGCAACAAGTGAAGCTACGAAGACAATGAGTGAATACAAAGAGATGGAACCCACAGCACCCACAGAATCCCCCATGAAATCAATTGAAAGTAAGGAGCCAGACACCATGGAATCTTTAGCGAAACTCCCAGGTTCACCAGTCAAACCAAGTGAATCTCCTGGTAAATTAAAAGCATCTCCAGTTAAACCCGAGAAATCCATGCAGAAGCTACCTACTCCGCCTACACACACACCCACACCTCCAAAATCCCCCGCTGAATCTCCGAGATCCGAGATGCACTTTCTACATTCACCAAATCCGGAAGAAAAAATACCTGGCAGCCTGGAAAAGCGACTCCGTCCACGAACTCCGTATCCGGAGAGCAGTAATTCCAGCACTCCACAAACGATAAAAAAGACTCCAATACGAAACTTTTCCTACGAGGCAGCAATGGATCATGATCACCTGGAGAGGACCTCCCCCGAGTTGGTAGACAGCCTGGAAACTGTGCACGAAGTGCCTTCGGCGACGATCCAAGTTAACACGCCCACACCGCCCACGGAAGAGGACGAGCAGCTTGCCGTGGAGATAACCACGACTAAGGATTCGAAGGACAGCAACAAGGTGATCAACGAGATACGATTCATAAACAATGGCGTGGATGTCACGGCCAAGGTGGAAGAACAAATGCCGGACACACCGATAGAGAGCTCTGTGGAGGACTTGGAATCGGACGGCGAGCAAATGCTGCAGCAAGTGGAGGAGCATGTAGACAAAATCGTGACGAACACGGAAGAGGCAACCGCAAAGGCCGGCGAAGAAGCACTGGATCTCATGGACTCCACCCGAAACTCCATCCAAACGGCGGTGAGAAATGCAGCAAACGGAGCCCGTGATGCCATGGAGGCAGCAGGAGAGCGGATGGCCACAGGAGCTCGGGGAGCCGTGGATGCTGTAGGTGGAGCAGTGGGCGGTGCTGTGGGCGCTGTAGGCGGCGCCGTGGGGGCAGCTGGAAAAGGTGCCCAACGAATGGCCAGCGATGCCATGCACGCCGTGGAACAGGCGGGCAGTAATGCGGTAAAAGCCGCCTCGGAAACAAAGGATTCCATGGGCAGGGCTATGGACTCGGTGACCAGCAAGATCTCCAGTGAAGTGCAGGGCGCCAAAGAAAACATCTCTTCGTTGTTCCAGATAAAAGCGGCCAGGGAGGCGGATCCTCAGACCACGCCGGTCTCCACGCCCCGCGGCGAGGATGACTTATCCTCCAAAGAGGGAGCTCCCAAGACGACTACAACTCTTGGTTCCAACGAAGAGGATGAGCGAACAACGGCCTCCGTGAACTCAAACCACAATTCCGCAGGACATGGCAATGGCAATGGTAATATCTTTGAGCCCAGCAATCCCTTTGAGGACCCATTAGATGCGGTGGTGGAACGCAGCAAGAAGGCTATGCAAGAAGACATCCGGGCAATGCAACTGCGGGCCAATTCCCATGTCCAAGCGGTAGCTCAGCAAAAAGAGGAGGACGCCAAGGGGTTCATGCAACACGTGATTGACAGGCTCTCGTGCCGCAACGAGAAGGCGGTCAGGATTGAAGGTATGTACTTATTAATGATTGCAATAGACAACATATAGCAGACTCACCCAAATGGTTTTTCTCCGCAAAACAGATGAAGTGCGTCCGCCGGTTGCGATTCCGAACAAAAACACAAACAAGGTGAACAGCGAGTTGAGCTTAACCAATGGACAGGCACATGGCGATCAGCCGCAGGCGTCGCGGGTCTGCACGATTTTATAAAACTTGCACCAACGTCAGCACTTTTCTAAGCAATTGCATTTGGTCTTGAAGTACAATTTAACGAAAATAAAGAAAACGAAATTGCAACAAAAAAACTCTTCACCGGGTAGTATGACCGTACTGGGGCGGGAGAAAAATGTCAAAATACCTGGGGAAATGTTTGCACGTCGACATGTGAATGTCACTGGAGGAACCAGCTCCATTCGCCGAAGTGGTGACACTTTTAACATTCCCGAAGGGTCACGGTGGAGCCTAAAGAGTGATTTTAAGATGCCTATGTAAATAAAAAATGTAATTTATATGAAACTTTAATAAAACAATAGTTTTATTAAATTCAATGTTAACTTTTACTAAAACTTTAAAACCCACTCTGCTCTTCAAAAAGCTTTCGTCCTATTGAACCACGATAGCGGATCATGACTACACCACACTCGTGAACAGTAACAGGTCCCCCAAAACTATCGTTCATCCCCAATTTGCACCAGTTCATTCGCGTCTATTTTGTACGCGAAACAGTAAAAAAAGAAAAGAAATATTTGTACTATTTTTCTAACGTTTATACGCTTTTTATAAATGAAGACCCAGCCACAGATAATGCTGTGAAGCCTTGTTTTCGACAGGTGATACCAAAGCGCGAGCACCCTGCCGTCGGTCTTTATCTCCCATGAAACCGAACCTAGTGCGGAAAATGATGTAAAACGGGGGGAAATCTAAACCTGAAAGGCCCCACACAGCACAGCCACAAAATGGAAAGGTAGGTCAAAGTGTGGGTGCCCAAAAAGAGTGCTGGTTTCTGCCTTAAAACACCCAATTGGAAATGAAAATCATCTGGTAATCGTAGGTTTTATAGGCGTGTGAAAAACAATGGACATTTCGAGCGGAGAGCTCCAAAAATTTAAAGTCTCCTAACCTCAAAAGAGCTTTTACACAGTACGGTCGTGTGTGTGTGTAGAGTGTGTGCGTGTGTGCGACTGAAAGTGGTTGTGGCTCTTAGGCAAAGGGGGAGCGAGAGGGGTGATCCGAAGGCAACGTGTTAGTGGAAAAACTGCTTTTTAAAAAAGGGAAAATCTCCCCCGAAGAGCCCGCCCAAAAAAGGTCAGTTCGCAATTCTTGTGATCCCTGCTAGCTTTTGACTGGTTATCCAATTGGCCAAGTTATCGGCCGTCTATTTAGTTGCTAGTAAAACACATGTAATTTGCGAGAAAGTAACACGCTGTCAGTTCAACACAAAAAAAGAGTGAGATACCTGAGTGCTTCAAGTGTGTGTCTGTGTGAGGGGGCGGTGAGCGGGGGGCGTGCCAGGTAACCTGTCCGGCGGACGTAAAAACCAGCGATCGAAAAAAAGTTACATGCATGCAGCCAGCGCGCGTATTTATTTTGTTTTAAAATGCATAATCGTATGTTTTATAATTTATGCCCTTCGGCGAGCAAGCCGAATGGTTTATACCCTTCAAGAAACAAGAAGCAGATACCGCATAAAGTGGTTAAGTTTAGGTTGTGCTTATAAAATGATGCGAATCGAGGGCAACTTCACCTTTCGATAGTTTGCATCTATTGTTTACCGACTTTGGTTCAATATGGTATATTCCATTTAACACTTTAAGAACATGTAAAATTTATAGGGTCTGTGGTGTGTTTCAATTTAAAGTTATAAAAAGAACGAAAGACAGGCGGAAGATTGGAGATAGGGGGAGATGAGGAGCAACTGGGAGCCCTGTTGGCGAAGTGTGTCAGCTATTGAATAATTTAGATTTATAATTTCGCAGTTAGGTATTTCGTGTGTTGTGGGAATTCCTCAAATATTTTTGCATACCAAAAAGCCAAGCCGCCGCCTCGACTAATCCCAATTTCCATTCTCCAAACTCAGGCACTAGCAACAACAACATCAGCAGCATCAACAGAGAAGCGACCAAGATGAGCATGTCGTGGCATTTTTGAACCATCGATCTTAGTTTGTTAGCCAGCTTTTTGTTCAAGTCACCAAGGAACCATAGTCTCCCCCAAAGTTCCAGGAGTTCCAACTTCCCAATCCCAAACCAAACCCGAGTCCCCATCCCAGCGAGCAGTCCGCGATGCATATCAAAAGTCTGCCCCATGCCCATGCTGCTGCTACGGCGATGAGCAGCAACTGCGACATCGTCATAGTGGCCGCCCAGCCGCAAACCACCATAGCAAACAATAATAACAACGAGACGGTCACCCAGGCCACGCATCCCGGTCACATGACAGCGGTCCAACAGCAACAACAGCAGCAGCAGCAGCAACAACAGCAGCAGCAACAGCAGCAGCAGCAGCAGCAACATCACCAGCAGCAGCAACAACAGTCGAGCGGACCGCCCTCGGTGCCACCCCCGCCGACGGAACTGCCCTTGCCCTTCCAGATGCACCTGAGCGGGATCTCGGCAGAGGCGCACAGTGCTGCCCAAGCAGCGGCCATGGCAGCTGCCCAGGCTGCAGCAGCTCAGGCGGCAGCGGCGGAGCAGCAGCATCAGCCGGCTGTTCAGCCGTCGGCGCCACCGCACCTGACTCACTTGACTACGCACAGTCCGACGACGATTCCCGGCGATCACTACCTGGCCAACGGTCACGGTGAACATCCCGGCGAGGGAAATGCCCCCGCGGGAGGTGGAGGCGCTGTCCGCGATCAGGAGAAACCCTTCCATTGCACCGTGTGCGATCGTCGCTTCCGACAGCTGAGCACACTGACCAACCACGTCAAGATCCACACTGGCGAGAAGCCCTACAAATGCAACGTTTGTGATAAGACCTTCCGTCAATCGTCGACGCTGACGAACCATCTGAAGATCCATACGGGCGAGAAGCCCTACAACTGCAACTATTGTCCCAAGCATTTCCGTCAGCTGAGCACACTGGCCAACCATGTGAAGATCCACACGGGTGAGTTGTTGCGTTTTATTTTAAAGTTTGCCCCAAGCTTATACCCGTGATCTGTTGCAGGTGAAAAGCCGTTCGAGTGCGTCATCTGCAAGAAGCAGTTCCGCCAGTCCAGCACGCTCAACAACCACATAAAGATCCACGTGATGGACAAGGTCTACGTTCCTGTAAAGATCAAAACGGAGGAGGAGGAGGGGTGACTAGGACGCATGGCGTTGGCGGCACACCACCATCAGCACCAGCAGCAACAGCATCAGCCTCCGTCCCAGCAGCAGCAGCACATTGACCAGCGAGGAGTCACCATCACCACGCTGCCCTCCGCCACGACAGTGTCCCAGCATCAACAGCAGCAGCAGCAACATCTTCAGGATGGCTCACCGCACCACCACTTCAATGTGGCCGCCTTGGGGGATCTGTCCAGCGCCATGCAGTTGGGCGCTGTAACGGCGGACGGCAGCTTTGTAACTATGGGCGGCGTTGTGGTGGGTCGAATCCAGCACACGCGCGAGGAACTGCAGCAGCTGGGCGTGATCAAGGTGGAGTCGCCATCGAATGGAGCCACAGCTACGATGTCAGCGGCGGCGGCGACAGCGCAGCGCGAAGGATGAGTCGATGAGCTGCTCCTCGAGTACATGCTCAAGGAGGAAAATGTGGATGAGGAGGATGAGCGGGAACAAGGGCCGGAAGATGATGTTGTGGAGAACGAGGAGCGGGATGAGGAGGAGCAGCAATCGAGCCAGGAGTGAGCCATGTTTGGTGTGTACGCTTACGTTGTTGTTAGTTGTTTAATTGTAGCGAACATTGTTGTTGTTGTTAAGGTTTAAATGTGTGACAAAGAACTTACCAAGATGAATGTATAGCAAACGCTTCAAAAGTAGCTAACCGAAAGGCGCAAACACCAGCACCCAGAGCTCCAAAAACAAAAAAAAAACAACAAACCATAACCAGAATACCGAAACCAGAAATAGAAATACTATTATTAATATCAAAGCTAAAGCTAAACTAAAACCCAGAAGAAAGACCTTAGCGGAGAGTTGTCTACATAACAGCGCACCCCATCTCACATTCACACCCTTCTCAGTACCGGAAATAGATTAATCCACTCTCTACTCACTTAATTAAACCTTACCATAACTAGGAGAAAACTAAATTGCTAATAGCAAATGAAAACTAAAACTAAAACCCGTAAAAAGCAAAAAGTCATTGTGTGTAAGGAAACTGAACTAAAATGATTCACAAAGTGCGAACCCGTTTCAAATTTTAAATTTGTTGATCCGACTCACTTTTAAATTGTTTAGTTTAGCATTTAACGTTTACATTGTTGTACACACACTTAAAAAGTGTTGCCGACGGTTTATTTCGCCACCTTTTGGAGGCGTGCTTTGGTATGGGTTAACACAAATTCAATTTGTTTTAAAAATTCCTAGTTTAATTATTTAATTTCGTTAACTTATCAACGAAACTATTTACAGAAAACGGCAACAAAAAAATTCTAATAGCGTTAAGTGGTCGAAACTATCTAATTTAGTAGTCCCTAGATAGCCATAGTTTTAACTGCAGCGTTTTGTTAATTTTAATTGATTAGTCTTAGTAGTTTTAATTTTCTGCATTGGCATAATTTGGAAACACTATAGCTGTCCCGCTGGCCTTCGCCTAAATATTAGTTAATGAAGTAAACACAAACTAACGGTAATTAATTAATTACGAATATGCGATAGGAAAGCAACAAGTTCTGTACAAAGCCCAACTCCAATTTGTATGTATAAAGCGAATGCAGCGGCGTTAAGGAGAGAGTTTAACTAAATTGTAAAACAAAGCCTTTTTAAAAGAGAAAATAATATTTTCTAAAAATACAAACTGCGACTTTTTTGTTCCCCTTTTTTTATGTTACCTAATTTTTGGTTTACCCACAGCCCGACTGACCTTGTTTTCTAAAGGGAATCGACATAATTCCGCTGTCTCACCAATAGAATCCGCCATTTGGATGAAAGAATTTTTTGGACGGATTAAGAGGCGGTAAAATAATGTTGCTATTCCTTTTTGAATTCCCGATTGCCTTTTAATACCTTTAAAAACTGCAGCAAGGGTCGAACTCAAGAGACACCTGCGTCAAGTTCCTATAGATTTCAATGCGCAACAAAAACGAAAACCCCCAAATGTATACGAATAGATTGGAAGCCGGGAAGTGAAGATACATTAAACAAAACCTAGCCTATATGGAATAAATAATAAATAAATGTTGATAAATGTGTAGTGTTAATAAATTGAAAGCAAGACAGCAGAAACGAAAAACCAATACCCAAACCAAGCAGAGTAACGATATGAGCAACGCTTGAATCCGTTTTAGAACTACATCTTCTCAAGCCTTGAATGCGGGTCTCCAAAGGGATCCAAGATCCCAAGCAGTCCTTGATTAGCCGCATTAAAATACTATTCTGATATTAAACGCAGATCAGACTCCGGCCCAATTTCAAAATCTGAACTCTGCACCCAGCTTCCCTAACCCTCCCACGCGTATGCATATACTTTACATATAAGTGACGTAGTGAGATTAGCATTTAAGAGCCTAATTTAATGATAGTTGAGTGTGTAAAATGTAAAACTGCAAAGAATTTAGACATACAATGAACAAAGACAAATGTTAGGCAAAACGAGGTGGCAGAAGGACGAGGAACTGCAAAAAAAAACAAACAAGCAAAAGGCTTAAAAACAAATCGCGATAATATTGTATAATTATACACATATATATTTATTAATGTATGTATGTACATGCGCAGTAGCTGTATTTATATGTAAATGTGTACGTAATTGTGTATTTAGTTACAGCATAAATATATATTTGCAATGGAGAAATACAGAAACGAAAACTATGACAAATGGCAATGAATTAAATGCGTTCTTATTTGAAACCTTTTTTACATAACACAAATAAGTAACCATAAGTTAACAAAAAACACTACTTCGAACGCTGGGCGCTTAGAATAACTAAAAAATAATTGAACTTTCGGTCGGGTACAACTTAAAAATACTTGAGCTTAAGAATTTATGAATACGGATATCTTAGGAGTCATCCGAATCGGAGGAAGATTTTGACTCCGCTTGCGACAGAGGTTCATCGTCGCCCAGGAAACCGTTTAAATAGATTAACCAGTCCGAAACGTCGATCTCCTCCTGGATTTCGTTTTGGAGCAAACGTCGCAGAAAGCGCAATTGGCGCACATCCTCACCGTAGCGCAGGCACATCTTGGCCACATTGATTCTAGCCACTGGAAGATTAACCTTGGGTCGGCCTATAACTACCTTGGTGTTCATGCGCTTCTTCCAGGTGTGCACTTCCTCTTCCATTTCGTCCAACATAAACACCATGCCCGTCTCGCCTGTCATTACACCCACCGGCGTCGCCAACGGACTACTGGTCCTCGTTTGAAGCGGTTCCACATGTTCCTTGCTCTTCAGGTACTTCCAGAAGCCACTGAGATTCAGCCACTGATCATAGTCCTTCAAGGCATTGAGCAGTAATTTTAGGTAATCCTCACGGGTCAATTGCTCGTCTGCGTCGTCCTCCTCGATCTCGCTTCGTGGTTTGTACTTAAGCCATTGACGGTCTACAAATTCTTCGGCCACCTTCTCCGGTCCGAAAGGCAGCTGCTTGGGAAAGTAGAAGAGCTGCAGGAAGTGATCAGTAAATTCGAAGCGAAGATATGGCTGATTCAACTGCGAAATAGTATTTATGTATGTGCTAATGTGCTTCGGATTTTGTGACTTAAAAATCTTAAAATAGTCGGAGATGAGCACGCGGGTTTGGGGACCCAGATTCGGAAAGATCACTGCATTGTCCACGTACTTAAGCTCGGCCGTGTTGCTGACTTCCACGACGAGGGAAATTAGTCGCTAAAGGAGGACACAATTTTAATGTGAACCTTGAAGGCATCCCAGCAAAACTTACCTGAAGAATCCTCAGGCGTTCTGGGTACATGGATTTTGCTGCTGCCTTTCCGTGCAGTTTCATGATTTGCTTAACAATATCAGTGAGGCGCGTGCTCGCAGACATTTCGAACACAATCGAGGCAAATGGCTTGGTGTCCTCTTGAAACATCTCCGATTCCGATTGTCGCAACCTATTGTGATCCAGCCAGGAGAGGAACTCCATTTCCAGAACCCAAGTCAGCATATTTAGCACATCACAAAGCCGTGCCAGACGGACTGCGGGCGACATCCGCTTGAAATCGTCCAGGCACAACTTGCCACTCAGCCAGTCATACTGCTGGACATGCCGCAAAAAAACAGTCTCTTGCGACATATTTGCATCCTCCTCTTCCGAAAAATTGAATTCGAATTTTTCACAGAACTTCGTGTTTACCCGTATTTCCTCATCGCTGCACTGCGAAAGATTCTCCTCTAGCAGATCTAGGTAGAACTGTAGCTTCTGTGGCGAGTTATTGGAACGCTTTTCGCGGAAGGCGGTGTTCTTAACGCCCAAGAAATTTAAGTAGTAGGGACGCAGAGCGGTCCAGCAGGGAGGAAAGGCATCCACCAAAAGAAAAAAGGTGCGTATAAGCTTGTTGTAGGTGTCGCCCAGCTCCTTGACGCTCATCTCCTTGGCAATAAGAATCTGCAGAGAGATAATCTTGGATAAATATTATAAAAACCAAAGGCGAGCGGACTTCCTTACCATGGCCATGTCTATTAGCCGGTCGAGGACGCCTTCGCCCGGATATACCCCTTGCAGCACCATCATCTCCAGGATGTCTAGAAACGTATCGTAATGCTGGTTATTCAGTGTCGTTCGCAAGGCTTGCACTTCTGTGAAGTTGGGTGCATCGGGCAGCATGGAGCAGCGATGCTTTTCCGTACACTGACTGGTATTATGCAGACACTTTGGCACACAGGCTCCAGGCAAACGGTCCTCGCTCTTCATGTACAGGTTCGATATGAGGATTCGCAGATTCCATTTCCAGTTTAGTTTCTGGGGAGGAGCTTGCGGCGTAGTAGTGTGTTCCTTGGTCTTCTTTCGACGCTCCCGTTTTGTGTAAGCCTTATCCGATTCTGAAGACTTCTTATCCGACTCTAGTTCCATGGATTTAGAATCAGATTTGTGAGAAACCATTTCAACATCCGAATTCGAAGGGAGATTAACGGAAGCCGTATCATCGCTAGTTGACACATCCATGTTCGGATTTAATACGGTATCTACGCTATCCGTATTTCGTTTAAAGTCCTGAAGAACTTGATTTTCATCACTGGATTCCGGCTTGTCAGTATCCGTACATATTTGAACCTCGCTCTGCACCTCGAGTTCTGGAATCGGTTCGTCCGTAAGGAGGGAACTTTCGTCTTTTACACCCGACATCCTCGTCGTAAATTACGAGCAATTACGCTTAAAATTCGCAATAATTAAATACGCAATTCTAGTCTTTTGATTAAAGTGTAACCATTTGCGGACCGCTCAAAATAAACTCTAGAGTTGCCAAAACACCAAACAACTATCAAATCATCGATAACTTTTCAAAAAAGGAAATAAAATCGAGCGGTAATAATCGAAATATTTTAAATACATTTATTAGATTTCTTATCTATACTTGTCTTATCTATTTAAGGTAATTTCCTATGGATTGTACTTGGCCTTGGGTTGTAGATCGCAGTAGGTTATTCCAGGTCCCAAACAGGAGGCAAATCCCATAAGATGGGGCAGAGTACTTTGCTCGTAAACTCCAGTGAATAAGTGAGCCCATGGACCTGCGAATAATTAATTATAAAACAACAAATTCACTTAACGAGACAACACCTACCGTGAGCATAGACAGCCACATCGCCTCCGCCGTGGGTCTCCTCGGCCATGGGCACTCCGTGCGGGTAGACGGCATCCGGAGTGGAGAAGTTAAGTGTTCGGAGATCCACACGCTCCACTTTTCCATCCGTTGACTTGTAGAACCTCTCGTAGCCCGGGCCATTCGCATACGACATGACCGCGTAGGGCAACTGGTCCACATCGCTCAACTCCGAGTTTAGACCCACAATACTGTTGTTCACATCCGGATAGCCACTGATTGTCACCGTGTGCCCGTGATCCGCTGTAACCACAATCAAGGTGTCCCATTGGTTAGTCATCTGTCGAGCCTTCTTAACAGCCTCCGAAAACTGCACCGTTTCATCCACTGCCTTTTTAGCTTTGGTCTCGTGATGGGCATGATCGATACGACCGCCTTCCACGAACAGGAAATACCCATTTTGATCCCGAGAGAGTACATTAATAGCTGCCTCTGTCATCTCGGAAAGCGTGGGAGTGTCCACACTATCATCGAGATGATAGGCCAAATGGGAAGCATTAAAAAGCCCTAAAAGGTAGTCCGTGCTCTGAGGATCATTGCTTAGAAGATCGGTGCGATTGAAGACCACTCTGGCATTTCCAGGTTTTATCTGCTGCCACTCCTCAATGAGATTCCGGCTATCCAACCGCTTACCCTTGTTTCCGTACACGTCGGTGGTTGTGTTGGGCAGGAACTTGATGGTTCCACCACCCATCACCACCCGCAATCGCTTACCCACCTCTCCGTCAATCAACTGTTGGGCAATGTCCGGACAATTTCCTGGATGCTGTCCCAACTTCCTGACATCATAGTCGCTCTCGAAGTCGCGATTGGAGGTGTGAGCATAAACTCCGGCCGGACTGGCGTGGGTTACCCTTGTGGTGGTCACCAATCCAGCGGATTTCTTTTCCTTAATCGCCCAGGCGGCAATGGAGGAGAGTCTATTTTGTGGCAATCGGGAGGCTTTGCAGTCGTTCAACTCCACATCCGCGCTCACTCCAATGGTCAGGTAGTTTGCCTTGATCCCGGATAAATAAGCCGAGGAGGTACAGGCAGAATCAGCCACTTGTTTATTGACGCAATAGGTCTAAAATGATAAAGGGGTGTTAAACAAATATCTAAAAATTTAATCACGTTTAATAAAATCTTCTCTAATTAATTGTTTAGTTATTTTTTGTAGCAGAGATGTCAGTTGATAAAGATAAAAATTAATTAATTAATTACTGAATTTTTTATAGACGTGTGACTCGATTTTACGAAAAAAAACTAATTAGTAAGACAACAAAAATTTTTAATGTATTAGGTTTGTTTTTACACAATGAAGAGGTGTGTTGCATTTGTTACTTTGTAGACATATAATTAGTACTTGAAATAAAAAAGGTTTGTTTAATAATAGCACCAACCTTTGAGAGACCCACGTGGTTGAACTTTTCGAATTCCAATCTATTGCGTTCGCCCACCACTCCGCGAAGTTGTCCATCGAATATCCTTCCGGCGGTTACAGTGGGCACTGACATTCCATCGCCCAGAAATAAGATCACGTTCTTGGCCAGAAACTGATTGGGTGGAGTCGAAAGCTTTTCGTAAAGGGTCCTTTGAGCATCGTGAAACCAAAACTCCTTGCTCTTCAGTTCTGATATAGAGTTTAAGTCCCAGGAATACGCTAAAGTCGAAGAAAAGTCAGAAAATTATCCAAATGTATTTTTTTTATGATCCCCTTTTTCAAAGCTACAGTTTAAACTTTGGATTGAATAAATGATTCTTGAAATAATTTTTCACTTTATTGCTTTCTATTTAAGCTGGTTAATTCTTTATTTCAAGTACAACCTCAAAATGTTAAGAATTCCATTCACATATGTTGTTTTACAAATGAACCTTAGCACAATCGCCATTGTTAAAACTCCGCTTTCGAATTAATTGTGAAAAGGGGAAATTGTTTTAATTGAAAGCCAAACAGAATATTTAAAACCTAATTAAAATAATTTTGATCTTATATTTTCAACGAAAAATCGATATTATTGTTTTCCGAAACTGAATAAGCCTCGTTTTAAAAATTGGTATTTGACATCTCTGTTGATTGCGGCGTCAAATATTTAATATAATTTATTTCGCTGACGCCTTTTATATTCCGTTTAGCACTTGATTAATCAATTCTGCATATGTTTCGAGTTTGCTTTCGGCCTGGCGCACTCTCACTCTTTTTTTTTTGGGCCTGATCTTGATCTCGATCTTGTCGTCACGCACCTGGCCCATATTTGTACTGGCTGCTACACGCCGCGAGTTGGAGGGCCACAATCAGCCAGAACCGGAGACCGAGCATTGTACGGAATTTTGATGAACTAACTTTCGACTGATCGGAGCGAGGGAACCGTTACGAGCTCTACGGATTGACTAAGCCGCATTTCGGAACCGAAGGCTTATTTATACAAGCCCCGAAAAACAGAGCCCCAAAATGCGAGACATATTACTGACTCTCTGAGTTAATAAATAAAAACCCGCTACTAAGTCAGAAAACTTCTAAATGAACTTTTAATCTGAAAGTTCGGTCATTAATGCCCTTATTTAAATGAGCTGCATAAACGAGTCTGATAAAATTGTGTTCTCTTCAAATCAGGTTTATTGCATCTGTCATTTGCATAAAACATTCAAACGCAGTAGGAGATGATGTAATTAGTGATATTTCAAAGTTCATTCACCCCTAATGAGAATCTAACACCGGATACTTCATCTGATCTTTCACATATTGAATTTTACCGACTAATGTTTGTTTTAATTGAACACACGAAAGTCTGCTGCTTTCGTTTTTTATAAACAGGTTGCATTTAATTTGTCTACCAGATATTTGCTTTTGATTCTGACTGGTTTGAAAATAAGCGATACTTTTAGTACAACTTTTGAAGATCTTTAATGCATTGTTTGACTTTTTATTTAGAAATAACAAAAATTATTTTAGGATTCCGGTTTTGGTCGAACGTTTTCATCCTGGTTTATTTTGATATGTATTAATATAACTTTTTTTTAATGTACATATATTGTAAAACCTTATTTTATTTTTTATAATATATTATAACATCGAATTGGTTTATAGATTTGGTATATGGATTCCTCAATATTATTAGACATAAAACTGCAGTTTATTCGGTATCATTTTGAATGCCGCGCCAACTATCGATTAAATATATATAACCAGTAAAAAGTGCTGTAAAACGATTACTATATGGCAATGCGGTATGGCATTTTTAGGTGCTGATACTAAAGTTGATTTCGTCCAGTTGGCAGTTCCGTTCCAATTGTTGTAAAAAACTAACTAAATCTGCAAATTTGCCAACTTCCTACGCCTTTAAATTTACAAATTGCTGCGAGTGCAACGCAAAACAAGTTAAAAAGATATGTGCTAAGGTCAAGGCCATCGACGAAGGTCACCAATCGGGCAGCAAGGGCGAACACAAAGGTGGGTGGCTGGCAGCAAACAAAGGGAATCACAAACATCTCGACAAACAAGCAAACAAACCAATAGAACTTGGCTGAGACGCATAAAAAGTGAATGTGATATAAGTGGAACGCCAGCTAATTGAATTGCCTGCTCTGCGTCTTTTCCAGGAATAACTTATTGCCAGCGATAACTTGAAGGTCAGCAAAGTGTCTGCCTACGAAAGTATGGACTTGCAGCATATGGAGAATGGCCTAAATGGCGGGGGAGGAGGAGGCGGAGGGGGCGGTGGCCTCAGTGAAATAGATTTCCAAAGGTTGGCCCAGATCATTGCCACCAGCATACAGAAGGTCCAGCAGAACGGTGAGTTGCTGACTATTTTACTTTGCAACTTTCGCCTATGACTAATCTGTTTCTACTTCTTCGCAGTGTCCACAATGCAGCGCATGGTCAATCAACTGAACACGCCCCAGGATTCCCCGGAACTCAAGAAACAGCTGTAAGATAAAGCGTTTGATATGTTTAAGGATTCACTTTCCATTTTTTTTTTTAAACTTTTTTCTGTTGTACTTATTCGTTAAATTTGTGATACCTAAATTCCTAATGGTTTTATCTCTGTCACATGGAGAAGTTTAAGTTTATGAAACATTTGCAAATCAAATTAAGTAATTTCGAAGCCTAAACAAACACCCTTGTATGATTCACCAATCAAAACTATTCATAGAATATGCCTAACAAATCGACTTTCCCAAACAGCCACCAAATAATGACCTACACCAATCAGCTGGTGACCGACACAAACAATCAAATCAACGAGGTGGACAAGTGCAAGGAGCGCCACCTGAAGATCCAGCGGGATCGGCTGGTCGATGAGTTCACGGCGGCACTGACCGCCTTCCAGGTTTGTTTTTCCACGCAGAGATAAGCAAATGGCTTTGTGACTCATACCCGTATCTTTATTGATTGTTATTTTTAGGCTGTCCAGCGCAAGACGGCGGACATTGAGAAGACGGCGTTGCGGCAGGCGCGCGGGGATAGCTACAACATCGCCCGTCCTCCAGGTTCCTCGCGCACTGGCAGCTCTAACAGCAGCGCCAGCCAGCAGGAAAATGGCTCCTTCTTCGAGGACAACTTCTTCAATCGCAAATCCAACCAGCAGCAGCAGATGCAGACCCAGATGCAGGAGCAGGTTGATCTGCAGGCGCTCGAGGAGCAGGAGCAGGTCATTCGGGAGCTGGAAAACAACATTGTAGGCGTGAACGAGATCTACAAGAAGCTGGGCGCCCTGGTTTACGAACAGGGACTTACGGTGGACTCGATCGAGTCGCAAGTGGAGCAGACTAGCATTTTCGTATCACAGGGAACGGAGAATTTGCGCAAGGCGAGCTCTTATAGGGTAAGTCCTTCAAATAGCAATTTATACAGGAGTTTACTTACATGAAAATATTTTCTAGAACAAGGTGCGCAAGAAGAAGCTCATCCTGGTGGGCATCCTGAGCGCCGTGCTGTTGGCCATCATCTTGATACTCGTCTTTCAGTTCAAGAACTAGAGCCATTTTGCGAATCTGAATCATTCAAACCAAACTAGAAAATTGTTGTGAAAAGACAAGAGTTGCCGCATGCAGGCCCCCTACCCCCGTAATTCCCCACCCAATCCCTTGGACCTTAGGCGCATTTGTGGCTTCAATCCTTAAACCAACTTCCAATATTGGCTAGAGATCGAGAAACTCGATGGCAAAGATGAGTGTTTCCAGAAGTATTCACCAGCACGTGCATATGTTATATTCGCTTTAAAATTATCTTATATTTTACATGTACTACTTTTATTATTACGCACCCTGTATATTGATTATTGATTAACAACTGTTGGCTGCAAACTCTAATTATGTTCCGAAACTCATTCGCCAGCGCTTTGTATTGTATTTAGTGTTAAGTGGCAAAGGAAGGCATATACGAAGGCATACACACATGTACGAAAAATGAAATAATAAACATGAAAACCAATATATATCGCAGCGATCCTGCGTGCGTTGAAAACACTTGGAGCACTTCATTTAGGGCCCGACCTGAATGAATCAATGAATGGAACTCGCCAGCTCTTTTGGGCATTCGAAAATGTGCCTGGTCATCGACTCCTCCTTGGCTTGGCGATCATTAAGATTTCGTGTTGCCCATTGTTACGCGTGCTTTAGCGGCTTAGGAGTTCGATCCCCAACCCCAATCCGACTGGGTGTTCAGCGCTCGCACATTAATGCCCCGGCAGATCTGGATGCGGTGGACCCACTTCAGCTGCATCGTTGAGGTGTGTCAGCTCCAGGTAAAGGGTTTCCTCGTCGCCGGACTCCATCTTCCCGGTTTCAGATTCCAACTCCGCTGGCCTGCATACAAATTGAGTTTAAATTTTTTGCCAATTCACTGACATTGATAGTTCGTTTGGGCATCATTTGTGTGGTGGCTTCTTATCCACTTGTTGGCATCGAGTGGTTTTCTCGCATGCATTTAAGTGCAGCTCATTTCCTTCTCTAACTCGCCCCGGGGCTCGCCAACAATCATTTCCCGCCGAGTCATCCAGTTATTTCTGGCCCAAGACGATTCGATTCTCTGCCCTGGAATATTCGGGGTATATTGAGTCGTTTATTCGAAATGAATTGAATTGTAAAATATATAATTAATTAACAAGTAAAATGGGTAACAAGTAATACAGGTATTGATGATCTCAAGAGGGGTGATAAATAAATAAAAGAATTTTATTAAAGTTTAACATGAACTGCAGATACTAAAGAATTTTAGCTCATCCTATTTTTAATTTTCAGTTTCAATTTCTTGACATATAAGGTGACATTATTTATTCATGCTAAGATTTTCGATTTTCACTTAACTTGTTTTATAATTTTTTTCATAAGCATTAATGGTTTAAATTTGAATTCGAATAGAGTATTTCGCTTCCACTTTCAACATTTCTTATATATTTTCTGGTTGTTTCTTTTGGGCCTGCTTGGCTGTCAGTGGCTGTCCAAATACGTCACCGAGTTGCCCGGGCAGCCGGTTGGGAATTATTGATTGCTCGTCCGTGGGGGCCAAGGGTTAGGCCCCGATGGCTCCGTTCCGTGGCACAGAGCACGGCCTAATCACATCGATTATGGCTACATGAGGCACTTGGCAGGTTGGCCCAGTGGACAAATCCGAGTCGAAATCCAGCCCCGAGGCCATGGGTCACGTTGTGAGCCGAGGAGAACTCGAGTGGCGGAGGTGTTGGAAATTAACTGAAACTATGCACACCTACAATCCATCTCGCTCACAGCAGGTAGCCTTGGCCAGAAGGGCTGCTGTTTGCATAGGCCAGAATCCCCGGCCCATGACAATATTGACATCTTCGGTGGTCAGGCTGCATGCAGCCAACGAATCTCATTTGCAAAGTCATTTTGTCCAAATAAATCCAGCCTCCGTCTTGGTGATTTTCCCAACTTAATGCGCGAACACAAACCGCATGTTTTGACTTTAACGCAGAATGGCCAACGGGAAATTCCGTAACTTGCTAAGCGGTGGATTGACTTACCAACTTGCTAGCCAGGATTCCGGAATTTTTGGTCCTGGGAAAATTGTGAAAAGCGGGGGGAAACTGCGAAATGGCAAGCGGTTATCTTCCGGTAACTAAACCCCGATAATCCCTTCACAATTCACACGTTGCCTATGTACGATCAGTTCCCTTCTATAACGCTGCGTAGTGGATAAACATCCGGTTTGTGGCATTTCCCAAATCAATAAACTTATTATTATCCCATTTCCCCCAAGCCTTGCCCTTTTATTGGGAAAAATTCTTAATTAAGCGTTTTTATGAATGAAGAAACGTAGTGCCCACGCGCACTCCTCCCCGCATTTCTTCTGCTCTTACAGCATTTTAAGTGGAATTACTTGCCTAGAAGTGCTGTAAATCTTTTGAATTTTTATTTAAAACAAAAATGCCAAATCAAAAGTTTCGTTTGATTGTTCCGTTTTCACCTGCTGAGGGGCGGGATTGGGGGGCAAGTGCTTGATGGCCAACACTTTCGACAGTTTTATTAATGAAATTCGCAGAAAAAGTTGCCCACTGATCTGCTGCCTCTCTTCTAGTCAATTTTCCATCTACAGTTAGAAAAATATTGGTTACAAATGGATTATAAATTTAATCCTGCCTGAAAAATTGTTACCCTTGTAATCATTTATCGTAAAACAAGAGTTGGTTATTCATTTAATTTCCATTTAATGGTGTTATTATGTTAGTATACATATAAATCATCTTGCATTATTTTGTCGGTGTATCTGCGATTTTATGAACTGCTTGAGAAGGCCTTCTCATTTAGAGCTCCCCTTAGCCCTCTTGAGTCCCCTTGGCCCCCATTTCTCCAGCTGGCGAGCACACTTCTAAACAAATTGGGTGTCAAAAAGTGCGCACATTTCAAAAGATTTAACCGTTTTGCAGGCACCGCTCGCTGGTCTTTGATCTTTGCCGCCCCCAACGGCAGACGCCGTTTATGCGGTTGCCACTGTGGCAGCACAGTGGAGCCTGCTGCTGCCGCTCAGTGGCAAGTGGCCCACCGAAGCAAAGGCACAGTGGGTGTGGGTCAAGTGCTACATTTAATGGCAAATATACATCGGAATACTCAAAGTTTTAGCACCTTTATTCGACTTTGTCTATTATGCAGATAAGTACCTTATTTGATAATAAGAGCATTGAAATTATTAACCGATTTATGAACCATAAAAAATATCCAGCAGACAAAATTCGATAAAACAAGAATATAAATAGGAAATTATTTAGATTACCACGTTTTTTGTAACTTTTAGGCATAAAATATATTAACTAGTAACTCAAAGCTAGTATAAAAAATATTTAAAAAAACCTGCTAATACACCACCCACTGTAGAATCCTAGCCACTCTACTCTTCGCTCAATATAAACACGCTCGGCTATATCTTTTATCTGATTCGCTTTATACACAGATACCACGCGCCCTCGGAACTGTGTGAAAAAAGCGTCAACGCGGCAAAAAAGATAGCGAAAAGAACAATTTCCCAAAACGAGGGGCGCTGAGGCCGGTTTTTTATAAATTGGCAGGAATCCCGGAGGATAGGAACCAACCGTCCCCCAGGCGGGATTACGACTACAAAGAGATCGGCGATCAATCCGAGTGCATCGGAAAATCGCAACTGTAACGGAGTATTGAGATCTCTGAAGCCGCAGGCCGGGATTAAAGTCGGTCGGACAATTGAGGGCACGGCTGGCTGGATGGGATATAGCAGATATATAGGGCCGGGGCCATGTGGCTATATATATGTGTGTATGATGCCGATACCACCGTGCTCGAGTTCTGCCATCCCATTGTGTGCGATCTATTCTGTTACGGGAAGGTGTCTAATGCGACGTGGATGGAGTATCTATTTTTTTGTGGCCCATTTGCCGATGCTTTGTTGTGTAATTGTTTGTTTACGAATTGGCAACAAAAGCCAGACAAAAGGCCACGGCCAGGGCGAATCTCCTAGTTCATTGGGTTCACACACGTACCAAAAAAATGAATCAAATCGAATGGATCGAAAAGCTGCAATAACAAAATGATCATCATCGGATGATCGGCCTCATCCCCAACATATATCTCAATTTTCCCGAACCGATGGCTGTCAAATTATTTCTGGTTGCCTCGTTTATCGTTTTTTGATTGTTTCTTTTTCCAAATATCTTGTTTTTCTTCCTTTTCGCTTTCCGCTGGCGTTTTCCTTCCCGACTAATTGTGCCTGACATTAATGTCACTCTGTATTAAATATAGCCCAGCGCCGATTTGGAGGCCTCCTTCTTTTAGCTCCATTTCATATTTGGGAGTAAGGGCCGCGACTTATGGGGGAACTGAGTATATGGGATCGGTGTCGGTGGCGGATCGGGGGGCCTTTGCTTTAGCAACGTGTTGACAGCAAGTGACAGACACATTCATTAGGCGGAATGATTCATATTCGAAGGGGGGTTCGCCATGGAAGTGGCCGGGGTTTGGGGCGATCCGACGATCCGACAAATGGCAGACTAATTTGAAGAGCATTAGATCAAGTGATTTAGGGCTTCGACTTGTGGTTAGTTGAGCCCCATCAATAATACGGATGGGTGGCTCTTAGTCGGGCATGTTCTAATTTGATTAAGATAATTTATTGGCTACAATTGATTAATGGTTAAGCAATTCCGGGACTTTTGAAAACTTGAAGGTTTCCAATTATCAAGATATTTCTTTTAAAATAAAATGATAAGTAGATTATTATACTAAACCTATTTTATTAGGGAGTGAAATTTAATATTTCCAAAATATATATCTTAGTTTATTCAGCTTAATCACCTTTTTTAAAATATTAATTCTTATATAGTCTCTGATGTCACCGGTGATTCAATTTAATATGCGTGCGGCAATCTCAACCGACTTTCCATCACCCAATAAAATCCATTCCCTCTCTTCATGATTAATCGAATTTGTGCGGCACAATCCTTGGAATATTTTCCACTTATTGAGTAAAATGGCAAACGGTCAAACCAATTATGGATTACGTCCTCAAGTCCATATGCGCGAATAATATTTTCAGAGTAAATATTGCCGGTTCGGGAATGTTTGGGGGCGGATTCCGGAGGGACTTCCAAGCGGATGTGGGGGAGTACGAGTACGGGTGTGTGTGTGTGTGTGTGTGTGTCGCCCCTTCGTATTCCGTATTCCATATACCATATTCCGCATATCATATTCCGCATTTCGCATGCAAGCCGTGGGCGCAGCTTGGACACGAAGTGGGCGCGGCCAAGTAGCCGCCGGTTGCTTGGCCAAAAAGGGCGACAATGCGAAAAATTGTGCAATCGATTGGAGGGAGCCAGACCAAGACCAGAAAAAGCCCGGAATGCGGGAGATTGGATCCCCAGCCACCATATGTTAAATCAAAGAGAAAATCAGGAGTGGGCGCTGGCGTTCGTGCGTATATAAGTGTGTGTGTGTGTGTATATCCTG